CCAGCATGTCGCCCTTTGGAGCGTCGTCCTTCCCGAAGAAGGACAACGGTGCGCAAGGATACTTGAAGCGCTCCAAGACCGGCTCCGAGCACACCGCTAATGTCAACCGAACACTATTCGAAGACAAGGTTCACCAAAAGCCCGCTGGGCCACGGCCTCCCAACACGGACAAGCCCGTGCCCAAGTCTCCTCCGCCGGCTCAACCTGTTGATCAGCCTCAGACGCCGTCTTCGATGAGTAATTTGCGAAGGAAGCTTAGCTTGTCTTGGAAGAAGGGCAACTCGAAGGGAGCCATTGTCCCCCCGCAGGATGTCGTAGACAGAGCGCAGGGCACGAATCAGGACGGCACCGCGGCTCCTCGCATTCCCGCATCCGCCACGATGAACTCTCTTCCAACCGCGAAACCCTCCGGCCCGAGCGCAGCTGCTCCCCAGGGACGCTCGGAATCCAAGAGAAGGAAGAGCTCCGTTGGCAACATGAACAGCGCTTATGTTTCCCACGATCGGACCAAGAGTGATCCCTGGACTGCCAAGAAGGACGCCACTGTTGCTGATCCTGCAACGATGCCAGCGACTCGCAACCCGTCGGTCATGGCCAAGCTCATGAGGCCGAAGACGTCCTCTAGCGTGTCCAGTGCAGGCTCGTACGTCGCCGATATGGACAAGGACGATCTCATTGCCGAAGAAGAAATGCGCAAGCTGGGATCTCGGCGCAAGGAGACGGAAATCGCAGCCAGGACTCTCGATGCCCTGAAGAAGAGGGCCACGCCCAAGGAGAGGGTCGGGCCCCACGAGGCGATCCGGATCGCCATGCTCAACATTTACGAACGGGGCGAGATTATCGACTACAACGACGTGTATTTCTGCGGCACTCAGAATGCCAACAAGGTCGTGGGCGACCTGTCATCGGACGCCCCGAACTTTGGCTATGACGATGAGCGCGGAGACTACTCGATTGTGATTGGCGATCACCTTGCGTACCGGTACGAAGTCATCGATGTTCTTGGAAAGGGAAGCTTTGGCCAGGTTGTTCGATGCATCGACCACAAGCTCGGAGTTCTCGTGGCCGTCAAAATCATCAGAAACAAGAAACGATTTCATCAGCAAGCTCTTGTTGAGGTTAACATCCTGCAAAAGCTGCGCGAGTGGGTGAGTAAACGAAATCCTCCTGACTCCCTATGCAAACCTGGCTGCGTATGAGCTTGGCTAACTAGCATTGCACAGGATCCTCATAACAAACACAGCATGGTCAACTTCACCCAGAGCTTCTACTTCCGTGGCCATCTTTGCATATCTACAGAGTTGTTGGACATGAACCTCTACGAGTTCATCAAGGCCCACTCCTTCAGGGGATTCTCTCTGCGGATTATCCGGCGCTTCACCAAGCAGATTCTCAGTTCTCTCATTATCCTGAAGCAGAAGAAGGTCATTCACTGCGATCTCAAGCCGGAGAACATTCTGCTACGCCACCCACTGCACGCCGAAATCAAGGTCATTGACTTTGGTTCCAGCTGTTTCGAGAGCGAAAAGGTCTACACTTACATCCAATCGCGATTCTACCGGTCGCCCGAAGTGATCCTAGGCATGACCTATGGCCTGCCGATTGACATGTGGAGTGTGGGCTGCATTCTCGCCGAGCTGTATACCGGTGTCCCGATATTCCCTGGCGAGAACGAGCAGGAACAGCTGGCCTGCATCATGGAGGTCTTCGGCCCCCCCGAGAAGCACCTCATCGAGAAGAGCACGAGGAAGAAGCTCTTCTTTGACTCCATGGGCAAACCCCGACTGACAGTCTCGTCCAAGGGCCGCAGGCGGCGTCCCTCGTCCAAGACCCTGCAGCAGGTGTTGAAGTGCGATGACGAGGCGTTCCTCGATTTCGTCGCGCGTTGTCTCAGATGGGACCCTGACCGGCGACTGAAACCTGACGAGGCCATCCGGCATGAATTCATCACGGGAATAAAGGTGCCAACCCCTATTCCCCGCTTACCAATGCGGGAGTCATCTCCCGTGAAGCGCCACAACACGATATCAGTGTCTCGTCCCTTGCCTGATCCGCCCGGCGTCTCGAGCAAGCCCGGCTTGGGCGCCAGCCCCGGCAAGGCGGTCCATGGCTCCATGCGTAGAGCGTCTGGAGCCACGGGCGCGACGACAGCAAGCTTGAATAGGCGCACGAGTGCCGGGGCCATGCACCAGGGATTCACAAGCTCTGGCTTGGCTACCACATCAAGCACCAGCAGCCTGCCGCGGGCTGCGGGCCGGATTGCGAGCGGAACCCGGGATATCGCTGCCGCGGGCGCCACTGCGGCCATGAGTCGACGAGCTTAGGACATCGTTTCAAGAGCCTCGAAGGAGGGACATATAAAAAACGTGTGTGTACGAACAACAACAAACATATTGGGAGTTTAAGAGGGTCATTCGCATTTTACTTTGATGATCACCATGACTCATTGGTTATTCGCTGGCTTGATTTCTTTGTTCTCTTACTATTTTCACTTTCTTCTATCTTCTATTTTCACGTTTTCTTTTGCATGAGGGTTGGACGAGACGAGATGCACATTCCACTGGTCTTCCGGTCAAGCAGGCGAGCCACAAGTCCCGGTCTTGGAGCTTCCCATGCTAGGAGTTGTGCTTTTGCTTTTTCTTCACTTTACGAAACGGAAGAGAGTGGGAGAACCAGGGGGCTGATGGCAAGCTGGAGATGGGAAAGGACCGTTGGGGTTTCCGTGGCTCATCAGACTCGGTGGAGGAATGTGTATTGCCCGAAGGAGGAAGAAGGGGGGAGAAGGAAGAAGTGAAAGCAGCATGTTCTTGTCTAGACTAGCGATGCTCTTTTTACGTCCTTTGGGCGTGCCCGAGATGTACATTCTCTTTTTCTCCAGTTCTCAGTCTCTGTCTCCCTCTTGTTGTTACAAAGAAACATTTGTCTCTCTTTGCGGGATGTTTTCATGTTACCCATTCTGCTTCTAATCCTGTCCTTTTTGACGATACTTCTTTTTAGTTCTACTACTTGTTTCTCCTCCTCCTCTTTATTTTCTTCCCGTTCTTTCTTGATTTGCACTTTGAAAGGGGGGGTGGCATTGTTAGTCACTTGCCCCCCAAACTCTTTTTTTTTTTTTTTCAATAACAAGACGAAACGACAGAAGAAACAATTCAGAGCCCACCACCAGGGGGGGGTACGTGTCCGCATGCGTGTGTGTTCAAGTTTTGCTTACCAAACATCAGCGTTGTCTGTGTATGTATGTGTGTATGTCATGTATGTATGTTGGCTGGATGCCTTTTCTACTCCTTCCAGCCCTTGTTCTTTGTATTGCGTTGTTTCTTTTTGACGTCTGCTGTTTCTTCTGCCTCTTTGTCCTCTCTTTGTGTGTTTGTGCGTGTTTCACAATACACGCTCTTTGTCGATTCCTCATAGTTGTGGGTTTATGGACTCTTTTTTCTGTGCTTTTGTTGTTTTGGCGTGCGTTCCTTTCGTAGGTACAGATTTTGAAGATTCTGTCTCGAGTGTTTTACGTGGTGGATATGGACGTTCATAACATACAATCCAGTATGATCTAGATAGAAACGCTAGAAAAGACGAAGAAGAGACGAAGAAAAAAGCGATGTAGAAGAAGATGATCTCAATCTTACCCTATTGTGACTTGACTTGTAAAAAGCCAGACTATAGAGGAGAGAGCGTAAAAAGGGAAGATGTGCTAGAGAGAGGGGCCCCCCATGTCCCGATCAGTAAAACATGTCAGATGTCCAGGAGTTGGTCGATTTTGCTGGTTTGACGGGCTAACCTCGCCTATGAACGAATATGGCAACCGTTATTCGAATCTTTCCCTTTTCCCAAAAAAAGCAGGAATTTTGAGAAAGTGGCCAACTCGGTTCAACTGATTCCTTTGTTTACTCCCCGTCACAATAAGCCAATCGCAAGTCTACATGCTACTACGTACCTCCAGGTAGCAGTAAACCAATGAGAATTAGTTATATCAGAAATAAGGAAAGTAGACAATAAAAGGAAGATATGAAAAACAGACAAAGCGTTTCAAATGAGATCAGAGGACAAAGTGTCACCTGTGAAACAGGTAGGTAACCAACGCGAAACTCGCCGTATGACTCTTCTCTTGGTTTTGATTGTGAGGATATTACATGCATATAGACAAAAGGCCAATCAGACGCGCCCTAGGCTCTAAAGCCAAGAAGAAGCCTAGAACCGGGGAGAAGCAATTCCGCAAGGCAACCTTCAGGGTGTGGAGTGTATACAAGGTGACAGCCTAGAATATAGAGGATAGGTAGTTTATAAGCTAGGGGGGGAAAAGCAGACGGAGAGAATCAATAGGAAGAAAAGGGTGTATGTCATATGTGATGCGGGCACCTAAGCATGGATTGCGATAAGCAGCAGCGTAGCACCGGTTTGCAAGAAAACGTGTGTATAGTCAAGCCAAGCACTTCTATAGAAGCTGCATGCTTTAGCGAAGATGACAATGGTGGGGAAACAGTAATTGGAGGGTTCGTGCCTAGTTCTGCGTGGACGAGTAGACATGTACGGATGCAACGTCAGGCGCCCAACCTCTAACGAGCTGAAATGCAGCTGAGGGCATCGTGAGAGTTTGAATCGAGTCTAGACAATCTCGGTGAGCGTTCCATAAGGTATGAGGCCTCCCCCCTTTCCCTTTCCCACCAGAGCTGCATGCGTGCAGCGGATGCAGGACGATGGATCACGGCAGGTTTGTAAGACCAGGCAAGCTATGGATGAATATGCCGATCTAGCTCAAGGGACGGCGCGGCGGCAGGCCACTTTGGGCGACGAGAAGCGAGAGCTTAAAAAAGGTTCTGGCCAAGTTATCGCCGTCTTGGGTGATAGCCTCATCAGTGACTCAGTCGAGACGGGTGGAGATGGCTTCGATGTAAGGTATGCAGAGAATAGAATGTTTCAAACGTCCATGTGTAAGGCGTAAAACAAACGTGCAAACCTGGGGGGGAGGGGGCGTGTGGTGGGACGCTGCTTGTTTGGCCAGGTTAGGCGCCCGGAAGAATAATGTCATTCAGAATGATCGAAGCCCGGGAGCTAAAATCCCAAAATTCCGTCATCTCGGACTCGATACATACTGATGCACCACCGTTGCAGAGATCATTGTTCGATTCTAGACGGCGGAAGCTCAGCCGCGGATGAGCAAGGGCGGCACTTGATCGCTTGACTGGGAACATGGCCAGCATGACACCAGCAAGAACAAAGGCAGCCCAAGCCGGATTGGGGGCTATCTTTCATGACAGCATGAGGCTCATTCGTCCCTAAAAAAGCCATGGATCTGCTAGGGCATCGACATGGGAGGAAGAGGAAGAGGAGGAGGACGCGAAGCCAAGGGGGGTGTATCGAAGAAATCCAGTGATGCGGGAGAGCGGGTCCTTTGTCTGCTCCTGCAGGGGACCTCCGGGGTGTGAGCGCCGGCAACGAGCACGTAGGGTCCAACTGTGTGTGTATGCACATACTCTGTATCGCAGCTTCAGGCGAAACCAGAGGGGTGTCGAGGGGCGGAAGAGCAGCAGGCTGCCGTTGCGCATGGATGGCGAGCAGATTGCTGACAAAATATGACGGCGAGATCGAACTCATCATGTTACAAATGCTCTCAATGGCGTCCAAATCTTCCTCAACGGACTTCAATTCGACGTGGGAGGAATTGTCAGCGTCCTAGATGGGTGCGGAGGCCAACGGCTGCCTAGCGGACTGAGGTTGGGAGGGCATCAGTTTCCAATGCAACGAATCCCGCAGTATCATGCCGGATTACGGTGGGCTACCAGCAGCGAAGATGATGCTTTGGAAGCAGTGCCATTGCAACCCGCAACAAAGGTCCCGCGTGCTTCGTATGTACTTGGCTCATGTGGCAATTGGCGAGCTCTATCGGCGCACATTCGCATAGACGGACGGCGTCATGGAATCCATCCTCCAGCTGGAATCATCGAGTCATTCATCCTCTGTGCTCACCAGCCCGCGGAGCCCGCGACAGACGTCACAAACGACTCGACAATCTCGCCGTTCTGTTTCGTCGCCGTCCTGCTTTGGCGTGTCCGGCGTCTCCGGTGCGGATACCGGATACGGACATGGACGGCGACCGGGGGGTTGCAAAAGCGGAACCTATTCCAGCAAGCCACAGAGAGAGGCGCAGCGAATATGGGGCGTCGACGGCCGGATTTGCTAGTCACCGCTGATGCTCGCTAATGCTGCTGCGCTCGTCAAAGGGGACGATTGATTCATGAGAGGCGTGTGCAGCAGTCCTGACAGTATAGCAATGCGCGGAATATGATAGAACGGCGCTTGAATACCTGCTCGTGTGTAGGGGGACCGCTGGTCTCTGGGAGCACGGCTGGGGCGCAAGGAAACGGGCATCAAGATGACGACGCCGCACCAACTAACACCAGTTGACACCAGTCACGCGCGGACAGCTTCGGGGGCCGGGTTAGTCACCGATAGATACTCGTACATATCGCAAGCGACGGGTGATGGGTTTCGTGAGGTCATCTGCGCTCCTTTTCCAAGGTCAAGGCGAGGCCAAACGGCGTTGGAGGCCGGTGGCCGTGTCGTCCCTGTCACGGCGACCGTCGCGCAGCGGCTGGAACCAGGTGATGCTCGCTCTAGGGCCAAGAGGGCGGTGAACACCCCCGGTGAAGCCCACGAACGTCGAGCATCTATATTCGTAGCATGAGGACATGGCTGGAGCCGAACCCCGTCGTTCCAGCGGCTCACCTTCTGCTCTGTGCTCCATTTAGCTGGGCGGCCCGGTCCCGGTTGATGCTTGCGCCGACGCTGAGCTACTGCCTTGCCAGAGAGATCTCGGACGTCCAGACAGACCTTGAACGAGTCAAGCTCCCTCCGACTTCCCCGCCAGTTAACAGCCGGCAGCGCGTCTGTCGCTTAAACGTCTGGTCTGTTCAACGGTTTGGTAGCAGCTGTGGCGGGCTGACAGTTACCGGGCCCCAGCTCATCCGGTCTGGCTGGTTCCACTCCATCGACCCTAAAATCCATTCCCGAGACATGATTTTTGGGTGCCATGAATCCTGGTTGCAAGAGATGATGGCCGCCAGGGGAATGAAAAGCTGATACATAGAAAATCGCAACAGCGTGCCCTGTAGTGCACCATGAACTCAAAGTCGATGTCATACTGACTTCCTCGCGTCTCCTTTCCCCTTTCCCTGACTTTTTCCTCTCAGAAGCAGATCACGTTACCCGTTTCTGTGCAAATCATTTGTCACAACAAAGCTGGTCGTCTATAATCGACGTCGTTAGTATCAAACTTAATTCTTTTCTCGTCGCACCGTCGAACAGATAGATACCTATTTTTACCCTATATCGCCAACTAGCAGCAGTTGGACGTGCCGGTTTCCTGGGCGCTACACCAAGCGGGCAGTGTCGAGAGCGTCAAAGGCAGCATCAGATGGGAGACCATGTAGGGAAAGGCGCGTTTCGAGTAGAGGGCAGGCTCCAGCAAACCGGGATGGGGAGCAAAGATTAAGGTAGGAGCCAAGGTGGGAGATGAGACGAAAGGGAGGGTAGTGATACCAAGGCCTTGGATTGAACCCAACAGGCGATCTACAGTAGTGTGGTTCCTATATTTGGCATCAACCTTACGGGGGGCCCTGGCGTCGTCCCAGAGCCAACCTCGTCACCCGTGCGACCGTTGCACGATCACCCGTCAGCAGTGATACGATAGATCTCATCGGTGTTGTTCAGTATCCGGGGAGCAGAGCGTACCATGCAATTGCACTGAGCGCCCCAAGCCTGATTTTGAGATGCAGGCGTGGCGGTTGGCTTTGTGAGGAATCTCCTTACCATCATCGCCTGGCAAGCTTGCCTCATTCCCAGGTGACCGAAACGGCGATTGCTCATATGCCTCACGTGTGATGTATGAGTCTTGGGTTTACCGTATCATCGCATCCCGCGGCCCCCAAAATGCATGTCTTAGACAAGGCAGCACAACCCGCGAGTGTGTATGCTATTCTCAGCCAGAGTATCACGGTCCTGGAGGAGGTGGTGGTGGTGTCCGCAGACTAACTTGCTCATTGCGGCCGTAGGGTGGTGGTGTAGTGTAAGTCGCATTTCAGGTACCTAGTAGCACGAAGGAACCCTTGGATTCAGGGGTGTACAATCATTGGTTTGAGAAGACACAAGGCTTTTCTCGTCAAATATGTGCCAATCGCATCTGCCGCGGCACAATGCGCAAGGTAGCAATTGAGCACGAATGATGGAGATCCTGGCACCCATGAGTCCCGGCTGGGCATGGCCAACACGTGAGATTTTCGAGGCCGGCTGCCTCCGCATTTTGGCTCGGCGCAGACGCCTGTCCTCAACCGTCTTTTCGGAACGGCCCTGTTGGCCGCATCTCTGAAGAGCAAGACGGGACGAGGAGCTATCAACCCGCTGCCAGAGGCGGCCTCACAAGTCGGCCGCCTCGTGGCCTATGGAGACACGACGAGACGGGATGCAGAGATGCGTTGGGTCCCGAATTCAAGCGTTCATGGTTGCCGGCTAAATTGTGCTCCAACCCGGAGTGTAGCGACAATGGTCCGGACCAGCTTCCTCTGCACGTCCGGCTGCAATGCAATAGCTCCAGGAAGCACCAATCATCCCACCGAGGCATGCGGCCGCGAGGGTGACCAGTCGCGAGGCGAGTTTTTCCGGAGACGTGCAGCATCGAGTCCCCACGACGCCCGTTTCCAAACATGTCTACTTCGTGGTAAAAGGGTAAGCCATTGTATTGCTGGCCACTCCGTACCTTGCGAGAAGATACACACACATTGGCAGCTTCCCACCTTCGTTCTGGTGTCTCGCAGCATCATGCATTCCATTGCCTAAAGGGGCCGTAAGGCTGAGGATGTTCTCTGTATCCCGTCCCAATCGGGAGTCATGCAAGGCCCATCTCGGGAGAGAAGAGAAAGGGAAGCCTCCCAGTGGTGTCACTGCATTCAGTGTGGAACATGACATTTGTCAAAAGACAGCCACTGTTCGATATTAGGTGTTCCATCCAGTTGGGAAGATGATCGGCGCTGGCCATATCAGGGCGAATTGGTGCTTGTTAGAGATAGCGACACCACGATATTCGCGCTCCAAATGTTGAAGTTGAAAGAAAACGCCGGAAACCTCCTTTACTCATCAATTCCTTCTTCCGGATAGTGAGCAACCTGTGCAACTTGAGCGGGCACCGTCGTCGGGCACGGCGAGAGCATGAATGACGATGCTGACGGATCAAATCACTATGATATGAGTGCATCATAACAACATCGCCTCGTGGCGGACGGCGCCTAACGAGGCATTGGACAAATAGTAGATGCTTCTTCGTCACAGCCTGCGTGGAGCCGAGTGAGATTTGAAAGAGAGGAACGCCGTTGAGTTGACAATGATCCTTGTGGCTCAGCACCGGAATAGACAGGCAGGGCTTGTTTGTGGCTCTGTGCTGCTTGTGATCCACATTACCCTCGGCTCTTGTGGTTGGCCCCATCGTACGAGGTACTATGGCGTAGGTTGTACCCAGTCCCCTGCACGTCGCACTCGCTTTGGTCGTCTAGACAATGCGTATAACGAACATCGTAGGAGCAGGCAAGTACTCCGTACGTCTCCGGGTTCTGTAGCAGAGACTCTTGTCATTTAGCTTCAGCGGGCGCTGACCACGGAGCGTCACTTGGTCGCATCGCGGCAATCCCTTCGTCGCCAGGCGAACCCGTAGATCATCGTCCGTGGAAGAACCCCCCGGGAAACACCAGCAGAGGTATGACGTGCTGCCTCGAAAGCTACCTGCGTCCTAGCGTCCTGGCGCATCCGATTCTGCCGTCATCTGACACTCCCATCCGGCCGGACAGGTTTCTGTCCGGCGCTGGTAAAGACGGCTGCTGCTTAAGACTGGGGGCTTTGAGAGATGAGAAATTCCCGGCTTCAGATGCATCTCATGCAGCAGCAAAACCTATCGCGGGAATATTGGCCGCAGGGGTCCTGTGAGGCCGGAATCGTCCCTTTTCATTTGCCGCCTGATTCGCAACGACCGAGCCTGCAAGGGAAGCGCACCTCCGTCTGCTGATGCTGACGGCGCCGACGACTGCGGCCGCATGGCGGGGCCGCAGTTCCATCGCAAGGACCGACTCGACGGGGAGACGCATGAAGCAATGGAGGAGATGATTCTGCCGCTTGGGGAAAAGGACGCCGATGATGCAGTGGGCGTCAGACGTGATTTTGAAAATTCGTGGGTTGTGCGGTCTGAGGCCGATTGTGTCAAGCGGTAAGCGAAGGCATTGGGGTGGGAAAGAACTGCCCTGCGAGGTAGTTCTAGCAGGTGGGATTTCGGAAAGCCAAACGTGCCTTCCAGGAACGGCAATCAAGGGAAGAGTAATCACGACCACGCCTTCTCCTGCAGACGACAGGAACTACTACCTAGGTGCAGGTAGTTACGAGCGGAGATGTTTATTCGGCAAGAACAATGGAATTTGCGTCTTGTCGGTGCTGCTGTTGAGGGAAGGTGCTACTCTCAGTATGAGTTTACCAAGAGAAATGGTTGTGTCTGCAGCACCGTCTCGACCTCATACGGCGAGCAGTGGTGCGAATAGTCTTAATATCATGATTACTGTACTATACCACCAGCGATGTATTCATTATCTCCCTACAATTGTCGAAGAGGCTGATACATGATAGTATCACCCTATCTCTGTTCATATTTTTGTGATTTGAGGCTTCATATCTTGCCAATACCTCGGTATTGTCCGGGGCTTTGGGCCAACAACCCAAGCAAGCAACATGGTATGTGCGAGCGCTGTATGATGAGGCATGCGGAGTCCCTCAGAGTTGACGCATATCTGTCTTCGTTCCCCAAAAAGAAACTCCTAGAATCTCGACTTCTTGACGGCCGTGACAATTTTGGCAGACGCTGGTCCAAGTCAAATCCTATATTGAGCGAATGACTGACGCTGTGCAGCGCCGGTTCACACAGCCCGTCTGCTGGTGTGGAATCGTGACATCAGAGCCCAAATGCTTTCAGGCAGCCGCTCCCGAAACGAACTGAACCCCAAACATTGCTGAATTGGAACACAAATCAACCGCCCCTCTTCTCTCCTCCGCCCGTCCGTCTACGACTGTACGCGCCGTTACGCTCTCCGAATTCCTGGCCTGACCGGACCGTCCCTGCATCAATTCCACACCGAGAAGCCCGCCGCGATTTGGAATTTGCGACACACGGATGGAGCCTGTGCGTCTGTTTCTGCGCCCTTCTGTCACTGAGTAATTCGACTCTTTTCGCCTCATCGCGCCGTCTGCTGCTCGACTATTTTGCCCCAATGCAGCAACAGCCGCCTGCTGGCGTAAAGCCTGACACGTTGCTGCTTGGCTGCGATGCTGATTGTCGCTGCCGCTGCCGCTGCCGGTTACCTCTGGGATGATGCTGATGATGCTGATGATGCGCGCCGTGCTGTGCTGCGCTGCCCCTTGCAGCTTTGCAGCGTCTAGCGGGCAACGCCTGGTGATACGTACCGGGAGTGTCAACAACGCCAGAACAGGTACGACTCCGCAGTCAGTCAAGGTCGCTCATGGAGACACGGCGAGCTGACATGCCGCACACCTCACCTCCCCCTCCCCCCTCCCCCCCAGTTCAGCCTTGCTGCAGGTCAACTTTGAGGCCCCCAAAGGGCTTCTTCCCACGCCCCCGGTCAAAGGCCAATGACCCGTGCGCTGGGTGACTCTTCCCAGGCCCCGAGGCCCTGCCTGTGCTACTCGTGCGTGCTAAACCTGGCCCTCCTTGCACAGGACGTCCGTGTGCATACAGTACCTCGTACGCCGTGCTGGACTCGCTGCGCGTGCGAGTACCCTCTGGCGACCGTTGTGCTGCGCCTTCAGCGTCTCCGGATCCCCTTTGGAGCCATGGTTCCCGGTGGGAACTGCTCCGAGAACTGCCACCTTTTCCGCAGCGGACCCTACCCGCCAACTTGCAGCCACGACGCCTTAGGCCTTACCAGCTAGTACTAGCAGCAGGTTCCCATGTTGAGCTCTAGCAATGGCCCTTTGCAAGTCATCTAGCCAAAGACTGTGTACTGCGAGTATTTGCAGAGCCAGAACAGCCAGTCGAAGTGTCTTGGCCGTTCGCTGGGTTTCTTCCGGCGGCTTCGGTTCGGAGCGCCGCGGTATGTCCGCCAACTGGCTGATCCATCCGGGCTGGCCTCAAACTTGGTGCCTTGCAACTGGCTGCCTGCCTGCACTTGAAGCTCTGCACAATGGACTTTGCCGACAATGAGTCCCTCTCTGGCAGCAATTAATCATCCCAAGATACACCCAAACTCCGCTACAGAGCGAGGCGAGCGTTTTGCGTCTATGGGCTGCTGGTTCTTCACAGCAACCGGCAGCAGTAATACTGTAACAACAACACCACGACTCAGTCTACTTGCAAGAACCCTGTTTCTGGTGCTGACCTGGGGGTCCTGTGCCTCGCGCTTACATACATACTACGATACTCGCACGCGCACACGCACTACATGCACACACAAAGTACTCTCCGTCCTGTTTCTTCGTCTGTTTTGTCCGCCTTGCCTGGCGCTCCACCAGCCAGCCCTGCCGCAACCCACGCGGTCCAAGGACGAGGGTTTGGTACCGGCCCATCTACCCATGCCCCAGAAGCGTCCGATGGCCCTACCTTGCCTAGGGGCGGGGGCGTGCCTGTAGCATAGTCCGCTCAAGTGCATCCCAGCCATGCACGCCTCCCGGCCCTGTCCTGTTCCTTTCTGGAGTCGACAGGACAAGTCGTACAAACGGAGAGCCCTTGTCCTGCACACGCCTCCGTCCTGGACATGCCAGATTACTGTGAGTACCTAGCGGTACCAGTAATGCTCTACCGCAGACTACCGATCACTCTGGTGCCTCGCACACCTGGACCAGGACCTGGTCCCGGCTCCCGCTCGTTGTCGACTCTAGGCTACGATGGCTATAAGGCTGCGATGCCTCGTCGCTCTTGACCCTACCTTGCATCCACAGTCACACTCCCATCATTCCCATTACCATAGCCATCCGGCAGTTTCCTTTAGAGATCGGTTTCCTTGCCTAGTTTCATATTCCTATTTTCCCTTGTCAGTGCCGTTTGTCTGTCTTGCTTCTTTCTCTTTAGCATTGCTCGTCTTATAAAGAGCTATACCCGCCAACCTCGAGACCAAACTCTCAAGGCATCAACTTCCACCTACACAACCAGACCAACAAACAAGCCACTTCCTCCCTTCGACCAACAAACGAGCACCCCTGCCTCAGTTCTCAACTGCTTTGCTCCAACATCACTTGTTGGCCCGAGATATAGACCCGGGGACCGTTTACCGGCTTCTCTTCTACTACCCCCCTCTTTCGCATGCAGCCATCGACAACTCGTCGACCAACACTCTATTTCAGCGCTTCAAGACCAACCTTACCACATCATGTGTTACCAACTTGTTGAGCTCTACTCGGCTTGCCGCTGCCTCTACTACCAACACGCCATTGACCGCTGCGCGGCATACGGAAGGCCGGGCCACAACATCGAGCAGCGCACAATCTACGTTGGCTATGCATGCAGTGCACACACAGGCCACAGTGCCCATCACGCACGCGACTTCAATTACTCAGACTCGGGTTACGGTAGTGGCCACTCCAGCCGCAAGAGCTACCGATGATGGGTGTTGTCTTCGGTAGCGGGCCCTCCGGCATGGCACTTCCCGCGGCTTCTTCGCTTCGAGCTGGACGACTGGATCTCGTTTCTTTACTCTGCCAATCCGTCGTCGATACTCCCCATGCTCGTCCGCCACGGCCGCCAAAGCGCCTTGTCGAATCGCGCTCACACGAATCCATGTTGAATCAACATGTCCACAACCTCTCTCCTCACCACCTTGACCTACATCACGACGTTACTGAAGACACGGAAAAATGAGACAATGACGACCTTTCTCCCTCATCGGAGCCCGTTCCTTGACGATTTACGATGCGCCACAGCAACGACTCCACTTGCTTCCCGGCGTCATACCTTGGGTTGGGCATAAGCGACTGATGCGATATGAAGCGCCGAGTACATCACTTTCTTACCTACGACATTCTGTTTGATGGCGATCCTCTCCATTGTTTAGAGTTTCGATTTGCATAGCATCCGGGATTGGACTCTTTCTTTTGTCCTGTTGTTGATATTGGCTTTGAACACGACCACGAGAGACACGGCCGCTTCTAAGAGCGATTGCGTTCACTTTGTTTTTCCTTTTCTTTATACTCTTGTCACATTTTCCCTCCTCATTTCTTTCTCATTTCTTTCCTTTTCTTCTCCGCTTTCTGTCTTCTCGGACCGCCGCAAGGCGACCTGGACCATTGCTGTCCATTTTTCTTGAATCTTTTGGCCAACTGGATTGGCCTCGGAATACACGGCATGGCATGGCAATAGACGACCTCATCTCGCTCGCGCTGATTTTACAGCCCTTGCTTCTGTTTGTTTTCTCTTTTTCTGATTCCTATTTTTCTTTGCTTGTTTTTTCTTCATTGCTGGATCTGGGACTATTTTGGGACGACATACACTGGGCTTGGGGATATGCGGGTTTGCAAGAAGGGCCACGTTATGCACCTGGTGTTGCATACTTTGCCAATCGGTAATGTCTTATTTGGGTGTGCTTTTCCTTGGGATTCAGCTTCTAACCTACGGCGGTGCGTGCACTGCCGTGGGCGAATCTGAACTCTGCTCAAACAGTCATTATCTTTTTTCTTCTCTTGTCTTTTCTCTTTTTGGTTTCTTCACTTTGTCTTTCTCTGCGAATAAGTCGTCTTGCTCTTTACCTGTACTACCACCACTGCAGTTGATTAGATGGGTTTGCGCTGCGCGCAACGTCTCAGTGACACTGGTGGCGGGCACCACCAATCAGTTTTCTTAGTTATCTCGTATGCGGCATCAGGATGCTGCCAGTCAATAGAACAAAAAGCTTCAGACTATATCCTACTTGTGCCTTTTACCCCTGTGCCGTGCTTCTTGATGATATCCGATCCGTCTCTTTTCTTGAACAACTAATAGTCCGTATCACGGCTTGGTTTTGTTTAATCTTGTATTATTGAACAGCTGATGCGACGGCTTCGGCGGGACAGCTAACACAACGGGGTAATGTAGACCGAGGACGTCGTATGCTCGTATTAATTGCCGATGCTGTGCGGATTGTTTACATAAGGTAAGGTAGTCTATGCTGTCATCGTTGACCCCGAGGAGCTGTCAAAACGGAAAAGCTTCCCAATTCAATCTGTCACATCGGTTTCTACTATCTCCGGGCTTATACAGTACGAACTACTAGTACTACTTGGCATGTAGACGCAATCGACCTTTTACCAACAAAACTCTGTTCAGTTTCCTTGTCTCTTCATCCCTGAATTGACTGAGTTCGTCCTTTGAGAAGTAAGTGCTTTGTTGATTCTTCATACTTCTTTGCTCATCTCTCCTATGCCATTGTTCTTAGTCGATGGGGTCGTGTGAATAGTAACAACAGTGGGTTTCTTCAAAAGGCCGTAAGCCTGAAGATGTCGCTGGTCTCTTTTTCTGCATTTAAGCGAGATGGAGGGTGGGAAAAACGATGGTTGAGGCCGCGCTCGCACGCCCGTGAGGCTTAGAAAAGCGCGGCGTGAGTTCCGCGATTAGGGAAGCGGAAGAATGGCCGGTTTGATGGCCTCCTCCCTCTTACTTGTACACGGCACTATTGCGGAAGACCTAACGATTAGTCTAGGAACTACTACCTTACCTTTGACATCAGAAACGTGCATGGGGGTTGAGATTGATCCCGGGCGGGAGGTAATGGGGGTCATGAACTAGGCCCTGAGCGACGGGAACGTTGGGGGGGCAGTGTTTGATCGGAAACACTCGAAGCCCTTGTTTGTTTCTTATTTACTGGGCACCCAAAAGCATCGACAAGGCAAAGAAAAAGAGAGGACATGAGAAAGACCAAAGACAACAACCAGGGGAAACAAAAAGCTGAGGCTGGAAACTGGAGAACGGGTAAAGGTGTGGGCTGAGCTATTTTTAGATCTCTTACCTTGCCTTACCTTACCTTGCCTTGCCTTGCCTAGACCACAAAAAAACGGCGTGGGTGAGTGTGGCTTGTTGGCTTGCCGAACCCGAACCCGCAAAAAAACAAAGAACAAGGAGACAAGAGACAAGGAACACAGAAAGAAACTGTTCGGCGAGGAGGGCTTTTGCCTAATTGTGAGAGGCGTGACATGTGGTATGGCCAAGACGGGAATCATTTTGAGGATTGGAAAGGGAAAGACAAGCGCCAGCCGCGGCTGCGGTTGCGGCTGCGGCTGCGCGCTTGACAATGTGGGACGAAGTTGGAATTGATTTGCGTTTCTTAGAAGGGGGTGGTAGAAGAATCATGAGTCGTGCAAGATGGTGGAAAAAGAAAGGTAAGAAAGAAGTGCAAAAGCGGGCATATAGTTTGGGGAATACCTAGGGAGCAGTGAGGCTCTGCCAGGCAAAAAGGAGAGAAAGTTGAGCTTATTCGTTTGAGGTTTGAGGGGTTGCTTAATTTAGAAAGAAAAAAACGTGCTTTTCGACTTTTGTCTGACGGCATCGGCCCTGTTCTCTCATGCCGCGTCTATTTCGTTTCTTGCGCTTAGTTTTTCCGCGCGTTTGAGGGTTGATGCTGATACTACCTACTACCTACGTTCGGGGAGCCTCATTAACAAGATGAAAATTACTAGAGATGATAGACGGATGGATGGTGATTGAATCAGAGACGGAAAAAAAAGGAAAGACAGCCGGTATAGGAAATTGCTACATGCCGTTGTCTTTGAGCAATACCTCCCCAAAGAAGCAGTTGTGTTGGTGCAAGTAGTGATAAAGATACTATATGGACGGGAAATTTTGATCCCTTTGGGGAGGTCCTCCATCTGCGTTGGGTAGTTTAATTGCTGTGATCGCCTTTCGCTGCGTCTTGCGCCGTGATTGGTTCCGGCGAGCTGGGATAGGGAGGGTAGGCGTGAGATGTGCAGTGCAGTGCAGTGCAGTGCATTGCGGCAGCTGTTTTTCTGGATGGCTACATGCTATGGCCGGAGGGAGGGGCGGACAGGCGAGACACGCATGTGAGATGCATGATGATGATGGTGGTGGTGGTGTAAGTGGTGGTGGTTGTAGTGGTAAGGTATCAATGTCAATGTATGCACATGGTTGATAATACATCCAATACATGATTCCGTACATACAGCACAGAGGAGATGGGATCAATGCTTTCCGGCCCTTTTCTCTCGCCCCGTGGCACATGTCATACAACAAGTCATTACTCTACCGAATGATCAACAGGCCAGGGCGGAATCGCAAGCGCGTCTGTGAGCTAATAGACGCCTTGGCGCGGGCGATCCGGGCGGTTTTGGGGGCGATGACATTCGGTTCGAGATGGCGCTGTCATTACTTGTCGATTATCCGCGGGCGCGCCCTTTTTCTTGTACAAGGCAATGCGCCGTTCAAAGCCACTCTAGTAAGGTGGCTTTGTCAGCCTGGTTTCCTAATTTATCTGATGGGCGACGTGGGCTTGAAACAAGCATTCTTTATTCTGCTGTTCTGTTTAAGCGGATGCGAAGATGGACAAGACAACTTGATATCATGCGTGTACGCTTGAAACTGTTTGGTAGGCTGAGCCGAAAACGGGGATCTGATCAACTCGAACAGGGTCTTGAATTGAACAGGGACAACGCGAACCCACTGGCTGGGCTGAAGCCGCACACATGACCCGGATGTCCTGGAACGGGACGGGGAACCTTGCAGCAACTGGCCCTGCATTTCTACTGGGGTTTTGCTCCATTCGCTCTACTCAACGTAACGCGTACATGTATTTTACGGATGAAAGTCTTGTTGAGAAACGGTCGAGTTCCAGTCCAAGGGCAGGTACCGGGTACCCTGGCCTGGTGCGTCGTGCAGCGTTGCAGTGCATGTACAGAGTACAGATGGCCCCCTGGGTTTGGGTTACATGTAAGGCGTGCTGCCTGCCGCGTGAGGCTCTTTTTCACGGGCAAGCGGCAGAGCAGAGATTTGGGACGTAGAGTCATTCATCTTGTGCTTACTTACCCGGCAATGCTTTCTCTTTGCGAGCACTTTAGCCGTGTCGCCGTCTGGGGGAAAAGTTGGCACTGATAACGCCGATTGCTGGGAAATCCGTTGGGTGCGGTACCCGGTGGGAGTGCAATGGGCGTGTCCTACCTCCTGTTGTATCTCGGCACGGGGCTTAGAACATACAGCAAGTGGTTTGTGGCCTGGATCAGACAGTCATCGCTGTAATATGTCTCATGTGCGGTCGGAGGGCTTGAAGCCTGATGCTCCAGGCAGAACCCGTTGCTATATTTTGCTGGTTCGCAAGGCGTAGGACTCGAATGCTGTAGCATCATTTTGGTGCAAGTTAGTCATGCCTTGGGAGGAATGTTCCGTATATTTCCATGCTTCTCCATGTCCTTCTTTTTCCTTCCTTTCCGTCGTACTCGATTTGGATGGAGGAATCCTACGTGCCGAGGAGTGGTGGCAGCGTTCGGCAGTGTCTCCGGCAGGATTCTGGTTCGGTGGGTGGGCTGCCATGGTGAGGAGTCAGAGGCGTTTGTCGGCAGATTGTCTCGATTTGGGCAGAGGTACCGCTGAGAGGACTCTGATGCCTGGTTGGGGCTTTTGAAAGAGGCCAAGGAATGATTGTTACTGGCTGTTTCCTCGCGATGCCAACAGCCGTGTTTTCATCATCATCACCATCAAGGGTATTCTTCTTTTCTGCGCCGATCGACGCCGAAGCCACACTCCTCTCGTGTCAGACTAGGATGACTAAAAAAAGATGATGCTCAGAAGATCATGGAGGATAGGCAGCTTCCGGAGTTGATGGTGTAACGCTTCCGAGGGAGCACTCCGATCTCGTCGTATCGTACCTGACAATACGAGGGGAAGGATGCGGAGGGAGGAGGGGGCGTTGTGCTATCAAGCGGCGGAATGGGGATCGCAGCAAACCTCAGCTGGAGCGCCCTGCATTGCGCGAGGCTCATGGCTACCTACGGGTACGGTAAGGGACACAAGCAGTGCAGGCCTTTGCAGGACCTCATCGTTACATGTGCCTGAGGTGCCAACCCGCTAATAACGATAAGGCTGAAGGATGGTCCTTTGACACCACTGCCACCCTGCGTACATGCGTCGGGACGGCAGCGGTTCTCTGTACGGGTGTGTGCGCAGCGGCTGTGGAACGCGTGTGAGCCGACTGTAATGTCAAGGCTTCACAAGATAGTTGTAGATGCAGGTGCTGGATTCAGGTTGCGCTTGGAATAGGTCTCGGCGGTGAATACGGCAGAATAAGGTGAGCCATGACAGACGGGGGCGAAAGGAACAACTAGCAAATCCGGCGTGATGATTGCCTAGAGCTTCTAGGTGTCCTAGGGGTTGGGCATCGTGCCGTGTAAATGGGTGCTTGGAGAGCACGGAGTTGGAACCGGATGTTACACTGTCAGTGGCTTGATGATGCCTTCAAGGACCAAGGTGGCAAGGTGAGTAAAGGGGCTCCGGTCAGCGCTGCCTTGATGACATGGAGATGAGTGAGCATGCTTCCTTCCCAGAGAGTACCCAGTACGGCGGCTTGCTGGAAGAGACTGAAGCCTGTTTAGACATCCTCACTGGTTGGGACGCTTCGGTGATGCCTTGTCTACCATCATGAATGATAACGTTTTATCGTAGCATAGATCTCCAGCAAGTAATTACAACATGATAAGGCACCGCTAGGGAGTCAAAGTATCGAACAAATCTCTTCTGCCTCTTTATCCATGCCTACTCTGATATTTCAAACGGTAACTTATGAGGTCGTGCCCCGAAACGGGCATATTATGTGATGATACACACCCTCCTGGCCAGTCCAGAGTCATCAACCACACAACCATCAGCGTCGATGCAACAGTTAATGTAATTACTAGTGACGACCCGCACCTTTGCAGGGCACACGGCTTGTCACTGCTACTCTGCCATCTGCCGCTTTCACTCTGAGTGGTCCCCTTTTGCCCCCCCTACCGTCTCTCCCGTGTGTATGTGCCTGAACGAGCTAGTAGCTGACCAGACTTGATTCCGGGTTCCGACTCCTTCACCTGTTGCGGGAGATTATGAGGAGAAAAGGGGAGGATAGAAGAGGGAAAATAGATGGAGTGATTTGGTGGTTGAAAGACTGAGATACCGTAGGAGAGAAAGGTACTTCGATGTAGGTACTTCCACATCTGTCCCGGTATCTGGGACTCTGGGAATCTGGAAGGTGCCTCCCACGCCTCGCCAACTCTCGCCAAAGGAAGGTTAGACGTCAACAAAGCCGATAAGCGGGAATCAACACAACCTGAAGTGCTACAAACTTGCATCCGACCTCACCACAGCATTCTCTCCATCCATCACCAACCTCCTCCGCTTCCCCTCTCCTCACGACATCCCTATCGTTCCTCCTACCTGCACACTCTTCGACTGTATTTTCTACTCGCAAAGTATCGGCATATACCTGCATGCTCACCGGGAACTGCATGGTTTCACAGCTTCCTCTGCCCTCTCACCCCACGAGGCCATCCGGCCTTCTTCCTGCCTGCGTCATTCAGCACTCGAACCAGCCACCGCTTTCGCTTTTTACTTCAGACACCGATATCGATCAATCCTTGGTCCGTCAGGGCCGGGTCAGCCTGGAGGAAAGGTCACCCTAGCCCGAAGCCCCCATTTTCCCTCAGCACTGCTGCATACTAGTGCTCGAGGCACGCCTCTTGTCCGGGCTGTGTACTTGCACGTCCCGAGGGCACGGGGTCTACATCACCAGGAGGTGGTACCCCTGACTTTATCCCACAGCACCCAGGTTCGGCAGCCCCATTACCAAGCCGACATGGACTCTGGAGATTCTGATCCGACGGCAGCACGGAGCGGCCACCGCGCTCTTACCACACTCAGGCCTGAGCAGGACGGTGTGATTACTGACACGGCCGGAGCCTCTGCTAGCCGGGCTGCTGCGTTCAGACACCATCTGCTCAAGGCGTCGGCCAGCGGATCGACCCTTGTCGACAGAGACCTGCCCGCGCCGCCCGTCGTCAGCCGATCCCCTCCTATGAAGACGCCCTCCCAGTCGTCCAAGCCAGAGCTTGACAGCCGCGGCTCTGTCCCCCGTCAGGCGGCTTCTGGACTTCCCCAACAAACGTCCCCTGCTCTCCAGTCAGAAAAGATGGCCTACTCGTTGCCGATACCCCTCATCGATCGAGACTGTGTCAACCCTTCTCTGCATGGAGACGACGATGTGCATGCCAGCGTACACCACCCTGGGCTGTTAGAGGGTGCCGATTTCTGCGATAACGGGGTCCAATCACCGGGATCTCGTACGTTCGCTTCGTCATCGCATCCATCCTCACCAGTGTCCGATATCTCCATGATAAGCGGTGAGATGCATCGCATCATGTCGAGTGGTGATATTTCGGTCACCGAGGTGACGGTGCCAATCCATCGCCACAAGGGCCACAGCATTGCCGTCAAGGTTCGCCCGGCATTCTCTTACTATCCCACACATCATCCGGTGACTCCAGGAGATCAGCGCGGGCTTGACTATAGACGTTCTGCCAACAAAGCTCAGCCGTTCAACCCGGTGGCTGACGATGTTGAGCTCGGAATGAATCAGGGTGGTGACTATGACACAATCGATGGGCTGGACGTTGTCGTCTCGGAGAAAGATGATCGCGACGGTGATCACGGAGATGGTCGCCGGAAGCTATCGTTTCCGACTTCGAAGCTCCGCGCCTTTCTGCCTGATTTGCCTCGGGAGGAGGATCCTCATCACCACAGTACCAACTCAAAGGTCAGGCCATTCACTCGAACGACTGATGAAAGTGTCATACACGATCATCGTTTTGCTGCAAGCTCCTCGTTCTCTCCCGAAAACGGCGGGCTAGGAAGTCGGGGCTCGATCTCACATGAACGCAGAGAGTCTACTCCTTCTCAACGTCACATCATTCACTCTCCTATCCCCGTTTCCAAGGTTCGCCCGGTCTTCACGACTCAGCCTTCATCAACGATCGGACACGAGAGCCATGCATTGGCGTCCAAGGTTCGGCCCGTTGAGGAAGCGCCTAGTGCTACGGCTACTCAGGACAAGCCATTCTTCTCAAGGGAATCGGGTCAGTCTCTTCACTCGTAGGACGGGAACTTGAGGAGACTGGCGTCGGATGTTTCGTCACTACGAACGCAGTCTCTCGGCTCGACGTTGGATTATAAGCGCACTGCCCAGTGGCTTCGCGATATACTCAAGTACCCAGAGACATATACCACCAGATATACAGAGCTACCCTCAAAGAGCAAGGCCAGAAGATCACTCTCGGCAGAGCACCGGCGGCATTCAGATGCGGCATCATTAAGCCTGCTCCCATCCCGCCGTGTGACGGGTCAGTCATCTCATTCTGGGAGGTCCGAGCCAAAGATTGATCCATTCATATTTCAACAAGCGGTGAATGATCTCGAAAAGCTGATGAATGAGGCCATTGCACTGGCTTCCGAGGGAGTGCAACTGCCTGACACTCCTTCATGCCCCAGGGTTTATCAACCGTGCATCAATCTGCATACTCGCCGCGACAGTGTACCTGGTGGCCAGGATGGGGCTTCTCAGGATGACACTTCTGGCTACACTCACGAGAGCCCTGGCAAGACCCATGATGCTGACCTCGACCATGAGGCCCAGCAGAAAAGGCCTCTGTACCAGCATGCAGCCACTTATACCGGTGCTCCCGAACGCCCACGGCTGAACGAGGTTCTCCAAAACTACTCTGGAGTATATGATGATATGACTACAAGGGGATATCGCATGCAGACGGGAACACCACCCCCGACTGCAGCTGAAGCAACTCTCCTTATCCCAGGTAGACGATCAAGCATCAACGAGGAGGGCCAGTTTGGGCCGGGTTTTCAAAAGCCCCCGGTCCAAACGCACAAGTTGAACCGCAAGAGGCAATATGACGACCTTGCAAGGGGGAAGAGGGACGCCGTCGCCTTGCAAGCCAAGACTCGACAAAGCAAGCCGCCGCCAAGGAGCTCACACGCAAGGCATGCTTCACATGAGTCCGGTGAAGATGATACTCCCCGCGAAGCTGCCGGCCGTCGAAGGCATGCTGATCGTGGGATCAGCCTTCAGAAACGCTCCCACGTCAGTCTACGGGGTGTGCAAGGGTTCAGCTTGGCTAGCTCACGCAAACGACAACCAACTGCCAGAGATTGGTCACCAGTCCGCAAGAGATTTGTCGCTACCGTAGCTTGCATCAGTACTGCCCTGATTGGTATCATATTGGGCATCTACGCAGGTTTGGTCCCCTCGATTCAGTACTACATCATCGACCAGTCTCACGCCACCGTTCACGGAAACACGGGCTGTTTCTTGGGCCTGGCCATGCCAACCTTCTTCCTGTGGCCGCTCCCTTTGCTTCACGGGCGGAAGCCATACATCATGACGAGTCTTGTGCTTGCCATGCCCCTCCTGTTTCCGCAAGCTCTCGCAGTCAACACTCAGAGACTTGCCAACACGGGGACATGGAGAGCCATGCTTCTGGCATCCCGAACGCTCATGGGGGGCTCCCTCGGGTTTGCCAGCATGAATTTCCACTCGATCCTGATGGATCTGTTTGGAGCTTCGCTCATGAGTGCAAACCCCCACCAAGAGGTAGTGGACCATTACGATGCAAGGAGGCATGGCGGCGGCATGGGAGTCTGGTTAGGGATCTGGACATGGTGCTGGGTTGGGTCTCTGGGCATCGGATTCCTCGTCGGTGCCTGTGTCATTGATAGATATCCTCCAGCATGGGGATTCTACATCAGCATCATGATGATTGCCGTTGTGCTCATCCTTAACGTCCTCTGCCCCGAGGTTCGCCGATCGGCCTACAGAAGATCGGTGGCGGAAGTGAGATCGAACGGCGACATCTCACGGCGTGTAGCTCGGGGCGAGATCATGATGCACAGGGTCAAGACGGGTCCGAAGTGGTGGGGACAAGAGGTATATCACGGCATTCTCCTCACTCTGGAGATGCTTCGCCAGCCCGGCTTCCTGATCCTCGCCCTCTACTCCGCCTGGATCTACGCACAAGTGGTATTGACCATTGTCTTGCTGGGGTCGTTAACGTCCAAGTTTTACAAACTGCGATCTCCCAACGTTGGCCTGCTTGTTGGCAGCGTTGCTCTTGGAGCAATACTGGCTATTCCCTTTCAAAAGGCCAGCTTCTTCTCAAGGTCTCGCCAAGCGCAGCTCAACACCAACAAGGCAACAATGGAGAGAAAGGTTGCATGGTCGTCCCACCTTGTCCGGCGCACCATCTTTACCATTCTGCTACCAATAGCAGGAATATGCTACGCGGCGGTGTCGTCTGGGCCCCCAATGCACGTTGGCGTGCCCGCCATTTTTGCCTTTTGCATAGGACTCCTATCGTGCCTTGCTATTGCAGAATGCAACGGTCTGGTGATGGAGTGTTTTGACACTTCTGATCTCTCACCCGGGATGACTGGGCGCCAACGTAGCAAATCGGGAAAGTCTGAACAGCGAACAAACTACTCTTCGTTCCCAAGAGTCACTGCGGGCTTCGCGGCTATCCATACTCTGGCATTCATCTTTGCAGCCGGCGCCAGCGCCCTCGGTGGTTTGGTCACGAGGACACTGGGCCAGCAAGTAGCTACCGGAGTCGTGGCAGGCATCCTGTTCGTCCTAAGCATCATGCTGCTGTTAATTTTGGCTCGGTTTACAAACGTGCAAATCATACCGAATTCCAAGATGGAGGAAATGGACCGGCTAATGGAGGCCCGTCGCAGATCGACCATTCGGCGCGCCTCTATGCCTAACAACCAGAAAGCGGTGGTGGAGGAGGAAAAGGCATGGCGACCTGCCATGCTCGGGAACCCCGTCGGCAAACAGCGAAGAATGAACGTCTTTGAGTTAGGGAGCAAGTCACGGTGGCAAGAGATCCGCAAGAAGAACAAGTTGGTCGATGAGAATGCCCATCTGAACCAAGCGGCGTGGAACCAGGGGCTCGAGGCACTGGACGACAAGCTCAGTGATATCCAGAGTGATGTGGAGGACTTTTTCGGACTGGGGAGTGTGAAGAAGCGAAACTCGAGGCGCATGCGACCTTCGGACGAAACCAGCGACTCGGCCATGGACATTGAGATGACAAATATGGGAAACCAGGCGTCGAGGCCGTCGCAGAAGCGTTTCGTGGAGAGGGAGTGCGTCATGAGCCAAACGGTGACAGAAGAGAATGAGGGCGTGGATGACCATCGACGGCAGCGTTGAGCTCAGGTTGGAAGCATGACTTGGGGGAGGAGCTTGTGAACCTTGGATTACCTAGACAACCTTTTTCGAATATAATCACAATCTTTTCCTGGTGTAGAACGTTTGCTTTTTTCTGACTACTGCATGACATTTAAGAAGCCCAGTCCCCTGCGTTGTAGGTAGTCTGTCTAGTGTACATGTGCTCTTTTGAGCAAATTGAGAAAAGAAAATATTAGGTAGTTTAAAGACAAACGGCTGTATAATGTACAAAGATATCATGACAAAACGTAATAGAGGAAAATTAGCATGGGAAGGCCAGAAACAATAGGAATGCATAAGCCGAGCGAGCGTTTTCTTCATATGCCATGGTCAAAGGGGGTAACAGTCTTTCTTCCTTCTCGTCACTTTCTCCTGGGGCTTCTCATCTCCCCTTCCGTGTTCCCATATGTACAGAATAAAGTCTGCCCCTTCCTTCTAGGCAGGTATGTAATGTAATGTATGTAATGCGTCGTGTGGGCGGGGGATTGGATGGGGATGTGTTCATTTACTGCGCAATGAGGAACAAGTCGTCTCCCCTCCTCGTAGGGGTAAGTCTAGGTTTCCACACGGGGGTGGCGGGCAGCTCTGCTGGTTCCTGCGGGGGAGGGGGGAACCTCTTTGGGGACGACGACGACGAGCTGTACTGTCCTTGGGCTTGGGCTTGGTCTGCTTGTGCGGCGGCCGCGGGGAAGGGGATGGAGTTGTGGCGGAGCCATTTGCTTCTGCTGCTGCTGCCAGCTCCAGCACTGTTGTTGTTGGTAGAGGTGGTGGTGTTGGCGCTGTTGTTGATGTAGGTGGCGGAAGAAGAGGTGGCGGTGGAGTAGACGGACGAGGAGGCGGAGGGCGGCAGCAACGGGATGGTGAGGTTTGCGGCGCGGGAGGCGCCGAGGCGCTTTGCGAGGAGGGATGATGATGTTGAGGTGGAGGATGAGGTGGATGTTGCGGAGGTGGTTGTTAGGAGGGGGGGTGGTTGGGTGGAGGCTGTGGGTTGGATGGAGAGGTTTTGTTGTTGTTGTTGCTGCTGCTGTTGCTGGCGGCGTTGTTGCAGTTGCTGGGGTTGAGGTTGCTGGGGCCGCCGCTGCTGCTGCTGCTGCTGCTGGGGAAGAAAGGGGGGCTGGTGATTTCGCGGATGGTGATGCGGGTACCTGTTCGTCTGGGGAGGATGCGGGAGATTATACGTCGTCGTTGTTGGGGGAGGAGCTTGAGCTTGAGCTTGAGCTTGAATGCTGTTCGTCATCAGGTCCGGCAGACGGGTCTGATACGGATAGTAGCCCGAGGAATCAATGTTGGGCCTGTAGGCCGTGGGATGGGGGGGGAGACGGTAGGGCATGGAGTAGTTGTTGTTCGACGAAGGCGGCCTCTGCGAGGACTGCTGCTGCTGAGCGGGAGGGTATCGCTGCTGCTGCTGTTGCTGAGGAGCCGGATACGCCCGCGGGGCCTGGGACGATGGAATACTACCATCTTGTTGTTGTTGTGGCAGGGTATTGCTGCGCTGGGACGGCTGCATGTATCGTCGCTGGTTGTTGGTGTCTGGCCGAGAGGGCGCGCTTTCGGAGCGCATCATGGGCGAGCCGGTGCGGATCGCGTCGGGGGCTTGGCGAGGGCTGACGAGCTTCTTGCCCTGCTGCTGCTGCTGCTGGCGCTGCTTGGGCATGTTGCCGCCGGCGGAGGACATGGTGCCGGCGGCGAGCGGCGCGCCGAAGCTGGGGCTTGCTTGCGCGGGCTTGGCATAGTATCCTGCGGCGGCATCTTGCCCGCCTCTCGCATTGCCTGCTGGAGGAGGAGGAGGAGGAGGGACGGCAACGTGCAGGCTGGCCGGGATCTTGGGGTACTGCGTCGGCGAACGGCCTGGTCCCGGTCGAAAGGCCTGCGGGGATTCCACCACGGGAGAGAGATTGCCCGCCTGCTGCGACTGCGATTGCTCCAGCGGGGGAGGGGAACGCAGGTCGGTGTCGTCCGTCGACGTCGAGATGGTCGTCACGCCGCTGTCCGTCGAGGTGATCCTCGGGCGGGTCAGTGATCGCGTCGAGGAGCGGCGATGGGTCGACGAGCGCCGGGGGAAGTAATTGCTGTTGTTGCTGTAGTTGTTGTAGTCCGGAGAAAAGGGGTCGAGGGGCATAGGGCTGCTGCTCCCGCTCCCGCTCCTGGATCTCTTCGTCCGAAGACAGCGACGGCTCGACGGCTCGGATGGTCTTTTCGGGAGCCATTTGTCTGTTTCGCTTTTGCTGGGCGGCGGACCTGGCTGCTGCTTCGGCGGCTGCTCTGGCGTCTCTTCGTTGGCTCGCGGCCTTGACGAGCGCCAGAGCGCCGGCCGCCTCCGTGGCGAGTCCCAGGCCGGCGACCAGCTTGGGGGCGGCCGACTTGGGGGCGGCGGTCAACGGGCTGATGGACGCCTCGAGCTCCGCAATCTCCTGGGCCCGTGCCGGGTCGCCGAGCCTCCAGTTGCCACTGCGGTCCGCAACGTAGTAAGGGACAGCCGCCGCTGACTGGGGATCGGCCGAGGGGGGTCTCCAGACTTGGCCGCCCACTGGCGAGACGGAGATCCTGCCGTCTTCCTCAAACTCCGTGGTGGAGCTGTCGTGCCTGGTGACGACGGGGACGAAGGGCTTGAAGTTGCCCGTCTTGGGGATGAGCAGCTTCAGGGGCAAGGGGGGCTGAGGCTTGTTGCTCTGGGGAGTGAGATTGCGCGGCCGGATGGATGATGGCGGCTCAGCCGGGGCTCGTTCACGCAACGCGGGATGGATCTCGGACTGAGCCAACGCTGGGGGAGGCTTTGGTTCGGCTTTTGGCTGTGTGGGCTTTGGCGAAGACGCGGCAATGGCTCCGCTCATGGCTGCTGCCCCTGAGGAGACACCAGCGGCGGCTCCCATGATTGCTGCCGCACCGAAATGCGAGTCTCCGTCTCGGCTGGGCAGCGAGACCTCGAGCCTCGGAGGCCCCCGATCCATGACGGGCTTGGCCGGAAGCAGCTTCGACAATGGCCGCGCAGACGTCGGCGTCGGCGCCCGAGTCACGTCGCGCGTGTGCGAGGGCGATATCGCAAGCCCGATGGCACTCGGCCTCCAGCTCGCCCTGTTGTACCATGATTTCGTCGGCGTCGGCACCGGCCCCGGGTCGAGCGGCGCCCGGAGCTGGTTCGTGATCCAAGAGTCCGTGCCTCCGCCGCCGCCGCCACCGTGATGAGGGCCCTTTTCCGTGCCAAAGCTACCCGAGTCCCTCAGGGGCCGCACGCCTTTCCTCCATTTTCCGCCGAAGCGGGACCTCCTCCTGCGGAGGCACCGGCAGAAGATTGCGATGCCGAACCCGATGAGCCCTACGCCTACTATGGATCCGATGGCGATCCCGGCGACTTGTCCTGTGCTGAGGGATTTCGAAGCCTCCTTCTGTCCTTGTCCGCCCTGTGCGCCGTCGGGGACGTCTGTGCCTGTACTGGTCGCAGTTGCGGAGGTGCTCGTGACGGTGAATGTCGGGGCCGTTGGATCGGTTGTGAGGATCTCGCGGGAAGACGTCGTCGATGGCTTGGGCAAGCCTGATGATGATGATGTTTGCCTCGTCGTTCTGGCGGCGGATTTGGTCGTCGGCACACCGGTCGACCTGGTGGCAGAGGGCCTGAGGCCGGACAACGATGTCGGGTCCGTGACGAGCGTGGAGGGGAGAGAGATGGACGACCGCGTCTGCCGGGGGATTGCCGTGGGGATCGTCGTGCTGCTCGTCTTGGTCGCCGGCGGAAAGGTAATGGGGCCTGTGCCAGAGATTGGCACGGCAAGGGTGGCTGTGATGACGGAGTGAGTAGGCGATATAGCACCCGGCTGGCCAAAGCACATGAAAAAGGCCCTGTCGATCACGGCATCTGCTCAAACAAAGCTGTTAGTTTCATTGCATTCTTTTCTTCCATTCTGTCTACACGGCAATGTCCATCTGTCCCATACCGCTTGCGACCTGCCGAGAACAGGCCCCTGCCGCTCTCTCCGCGACAAGACACTGGACGGCCGCCTCGCCAATCGTGAAGCCGTTTGCTCCCAGGCGCGGGCAAAGCGCCTGCAGTGTCCTCGGGGGGTGGTCTGCATAGCTGATGTTGAGGAAGGAGTCGAAACACTGGGCCGCGCAGCTCGGAACGAATGAGTCTATGCCTCCTGAGTTGAGAGGCGCTGCTGTGGCGGTGGAAATGAGCGTGATGAATAGGAGGAGGAGGAGCATATAAGAGGAGAGCCTTCTAGACATTCTATCGAGAAGCATCTAAGTCGAGAGTTAGCATCAGAGGTGGCGTATGATGTGATATGTATAGGAGTAGACTGACCTAAAGAAAGACCCGGTATTATGAAGGAGACGACCAGCATCTCAGCATGCTTCGAAACGAATATGCAAAGAAGAAGAGGGTATAACGAAGGTGTGTTTTCTCGTTCTGGAAACGGAGACGTCGTACAAGAATCAAGAGGAAAACGAAATGACCCAACTGAACAGAAGAGAAGAACAAAAGAAACACAGAAAAAGAAGAAATAAGAAAAAAGGAAAAGGAAAAGATAAAAAGGGAAACGTTGCTAGTAGAAACGAGAGAGAGAGAGAGAGAGGAATATGCCAAAGAAAGGAAGAAGAAGAAGAAGAAGAGAAGGAAAAGAGAGAGAAACATTTTCAGGAGGACACCCCATCCTTGAACTACTCCGTACCACCTCTGTCCATTATCCCCATCTCAACCCGCAGGAAACAGAAACAAAACACACGCGCCCATCGAAAGAGAGGCCCAAGTCGATTACTGCGTGTATGCATGCACGCCATCTTCGCCCTGGTCGAACAGCCGCATCTCCCAAGGCCAAATCAAACCGCCATCACAGCCGCCCGGCCTTCTCTTCATGCAAGCGCAACAAGCCAAAACCACCCATGTCCCGCCCTTTGGCCCAGCCTAGAAAGAGAAAAAAATAACCTTGATCTGCCGGTCTTTCTCACTGTAAAAACTCCCCCGGCCAAGATCTCTTCCAGCTCATCCAGCGCACAGCAGCGTAATAGACTCCAGTGCAAAGTACACCATAGACCGGGCGCTTGCCTGCACCTGCACTGCATGTCGCTTCCAGCCCCCGCCGTCCAATGAAGCGCCAGCGAGCAGGGATTCCGGGTCCAGAGGTTGTATTACATGGTTGGGCGGCTAAGAATACTTGGGAGGCAAAGGCACTGGCTGGTAAGTCCAAGAATAAAGGTAACGTACTTTGTAAGCGCGGGAGCAGCAGCCACAGGGAGACGAGTATCGATCCGTGCATCGTCCGTTGGGCGCTTGGAGAACAAGATCCCAGCAACATCAATGTCTGGAGGCGGAAAGTCACGTGCTTGGAGATGGGAATACATGTAGTTACATCTCTCTCAAGCCGTGTGGCAGAGGCTTCATGTTTCGGAGACAAAGGGCGAGCTCTTATTGGATCTAATCTGGATGGGAGGGAATCCTTGTTGAATACTCTACTATGGGATAAGCTGGTGTCTTCATGCCCGAGTAATGGTACATACTCTATCCCGCACTCTACGATGGAGTCATCGAAACGGGCAAGGCAAAAAGTCCAGCTGAGACGTCGCCAGCTCAGCTTTGCCTGGACGTCATTCATTTCCGCTGCATCGTCTTCTCGCAGACCGCCTACATGAGAACCATCGGCCCATCTTCCTAATCTGATCAATCTACAGCACTTAGCCGCCACGTCCATGTGATGTCGCAGGTACGGGGTGCCTCGGCGCCAAGTGAGATGTGCTGTGCTGGTTCCCTCTCGCAAGAACCATATGCCTATGACATAAGGTGGTAATGAGTTGTGGCAGAGACACAAACCTTGGATACGTCGAGCATCATCAAAAGGAGCACGTGTTTGACACAAACAGGATATTATTTCTCTTTAGATTCCATCTTTGGCTCGACATCTAATTTCTACCAAAAACCCCTAGCTAAAAAAGAAACCTCCAACTGACCTGGGAGCAGCACTTCTGGTTGCACGAGAAGCCAAAGCACAAGACAGACCAAGAATTGAGCGTATGGTCTTCCCCCCTGGCTGGGACTCGCACCGTTCCAGGCCACGCAGAATGCATCCCTTCTCTTGTCTCTGGGCTCCCGCCTACACAAAAGAAGTAAAGAATAAAGAGACCCTCGAAGACGCCAACGCCAAAGCAACACCAGTCAAGTTCATAAAGAGGTTAAGATAAGAGGGAAGGGGTAACAGGGGAAAGAAAAAAAACAAGAGGCGCAGACGTCGTGACTGATTTGCTCATTGGATGAGATGAAGCCCATGTCCACGGCTCAACAATACATCACCAATGTCGGCTGGTCCACCAAATGTCCAGACTCCAGAACTCTCATCCATCTGACGGCGGGACGTTCACATGGCCATCTCGGCTTGCAGTTTCCGGAGCTCGGCTTCCTCGTCGTCCTCCTCAATGGCCACCTTCTTGCTAGATATGGCTGTCATCATGTCAGCACCGTCCCCGTCCACACATGTCCTCCAAACCGCTGCCAGGGTAGACTTACGTTCCGCACGCGATGGTGACGGCAACTTGTGGACGGCATCCGCTACCGGGACGTTGCCTGCCCTCAGCATCTGCTCGTCAAGTTGCTCCTGTTGCAGCTCGTCCAACTCAGCTTCCAGTGCCGCATCGTCAACCTGCTCGCCAACCGCGTTCGACGTAATCGCGTTGACGATTTCCTCGCTGAGCTGATTCTGTTCGTTGATTTTATCCCTGCATGTTCTGTCAGTTCATCGCTTCCTGAGAAACACCACTACCTCGAACTGTAAAAGGGCCACGGGCAAAGCACGTACATAATCTCTTCCACCTTCTCCGGTGTCAGGCCCTGGTGGATGCTCTGGATAGCCTGCGACGACTTCTCCATCACCGCCAGCGTCTCGCGGTTGATGTTAGCCGACTCGATCGCGTTAATCTGCTGCTCGAGCGTCGCAATCTGTGCAATCGTCTTGTCCAGCGTGCCCTCCGCCATCTTCTTGCGCCGCAGGGCAGCCTTGGCCACTGTAATTTGATTTCATGCATGTCAACAAACTGCTAAACCTCGCTGCTTTCGTCACATTTCTTCGTCGGGTGCTTCTGTCTCAAAACGTACCGGTCTTGTTTGTGTTGACATTCTTCCTGGCAACGGCCTCCTGCTCCTCTATCTGGTTCTGGATGTGTCGCTCGCGCTTCTGCAGCATGTCGAGCTGCGACCGCAGGCCGAGGATGGCATTCTTGGCCGACTCCTTCTTCTTCTGAGCGGCGGCGCCGCCTCCGAACCAGCCCCACATGATGAATAGATGAAGCTGAGCAGAGAGATTCCGGATGAAGGCGGGAGATGCGACAGCGATAGAGATATCGATGGGTTCGATGAGTGTTGATACGGGATCAGAATGACGGTGTGAGAGATGCCGCAGGCAGAGAGCAGCAGCCTCTTTGGAATGGTGGGGTCAGTCTAGAGTCGCCAGTCGTCCAGGTTAGCCAAAGAAGCTGGCGCAGACAAGCAGCTAGGCAGCAGTCATCGGCCTCGGGGACCGTGCCGGCATCACGTACCTCGCGGGATGTTGGGACCTGAAATGAGCTCTGAAGCGTCGGGATGCGCAGCCAGTCGCAGGCGGCTGATGTGATGCACTCGTCCAGGTTGTACGTGTGCCGCCAATCCTGCTATGACGGCACCTTAGTAACCACTACTAGTCTAGTACTCAATAGCAGCAGTTCCCTCGGTCGCCCAGTTTAGCCGAAGCTCTGCCGTGTCATGTGCGATCCCTTCTTCCTTATCTCGGAAAGGCATGGAAGCAGTGCGAAGTGCAAGGCAATACCGCGTGTTGTTGGTCGGCTGATTGAGCAACCCTGGCTGAAGAGGACCATGATGGAAACAAAGCCAATTACAGAGGGCGTCGTAAGCCATCGATAGCATCACAGGGGTTGTCAACTCTCTTCTCGTGTCATTTGATTATAGCCGCTCTCCTGGAGAATCTGCCTTGATAATTATCAGTACCAAGGCACTGGGTATAGTTGTGGAGGGCAAATACAAAGACGCTCGGCCGTGTCAACAATGTCGATGCCATGCCTGGGTACTCTGAACTCCCAAAACAAACAAAAAAAAAAACAGAACAAAGTCTTAGCATACAAAACTGTCCCAGCCCGCCTTACCAATCGCTCCCGTCTTTACACAAGCAATCACCATCCCAATACGCTCCCGTATACGTAACGCAAGTAGCCAGAATATAGAACTACCGCGGAGAAAGAAGACAAGAAGGAAAGGCATGCTCGCCAATGGGTTTTCTCCAGCTTGATCCGACATGCCCAATGCCCTCATGGTAAATTCCATCATGATCAAGAGCGCGAACAAGCAGGTAATATGCACCAACCCCCTGCAAGTGGACTCCCGCTGTCGACATGTCTCTATCGTAGGCCGGTCGTGTCTAAAGCGTGAACCGACACGCAAGAAAGTGTAACATCATTAGTCTTCGTATAAGTATTGCCTCGTTGCGGATATGCAACCCCGATTATTCGTATCCGTTCGCGAAATATGACACAAGTGAAGCGAAAGTCGTTCCGTCGGAAAAAGGCGTGTGTCCAGGTTATGCGTTGCCGCCCTTTTCTTCGGTGTCGATATGCCAAACAACGTAATTGGGGAGACCGTAGACTTCGTAGCCGGCACGCTTGGCCATTTTGGCGAATCCTTCTGTTTCGGCTTGGTTTTCGAAAGCATAGCACGGAAAGTTGATGCCTGGGAGAATCACGTTCGTTAGCCATCACCTGCCGCGTCATCAGTAGGGTCGGATCCAGGGGCATACCGGAGCGGTGCACGTCTGCCTTGACCAGAATGTTGACGCCGCCGATGCCGTCGAGTTCAAGCTCCACATCCTTGTTCTCACGCCAGTCGCCCATTTTGGCCATGTACGTTCGGCCAGTGTCGTACTGCTTGTAACCTGCCAGCATGGTAAGCACTCTTGCACATCAAACGTCCCAAGCAGAGTGCATACCCTCAGCAAGAACAACGTCCTTGTCCAGACTGTTCGCCAGCTTGCGGCCCTTGTCGGACTCGACCCAAGAGTTATAATCGACTATTCTCATGTCAGCGATAGCCTCTTACAGTTGTCGTCTCTTGCGCCTGGGCATCACTTACACCGGCCTTCAATATCCACACCGTCACGGTAACGGTGGAACCAAATGTCTTGGCATCGGGAGATTAGCAACAGTCTCTGGTCTTGAACAGCAGATGATGCTTACTTGGAACCAGAATGTCTCGGTCGTGGGCGATAAAGTCCTCGAGAATGCCGGTAGGGCTGTCCACAATGTCCACGTCGCGCCAGTAGACCCAAGAGTGCTCGGGCTTCAAGGCAGTGTAGAGGAGGTAGTTCCGGGCTCTGCCCATGGCCTTTCGGCGGGGTCCCTGAGCCTCGAACGAGTGTCGCTCTTGGACATCTTGGCTGAGCTTGAATCCAAAGTCCTTTTCAATGACCGTTGCGCTATGGAAGGGGATCTGATCGGGTCGCTTCTGGATGCGGTCGAGCTCGGAGGCGAGAACGGCGAGGGTGTCATCTGTAGAGTCTGAGACGAGAAAGGCCAGGTCAATCAATCGATGAGGATACGTCAGTTCAGCGAGGAGCTCAAAGTATTTCGACAGGTACGGCGCGGCATCCTTCAAGGGCGTCAGGATGAGTATCCTCTCTTCCTTGGCGAGGGCCTGCTTGGTCGAGTTGATGGGGTTGAGGTCGACGTGCTCGATTGTGCTCGAATTGACTTCGATGGGCGCGTGGTGGTTGAAGATGACCGGTGTCTGCAGGTGTCCGTTCCATCGGTTATGCTCGTTCGGTGACATTTCCATGGGTGGCTTGGCCGGGCCCCAGCAGTAGAAGCTATATGTGGCATCAGTTTCCTGCGCGCATCCCGCGAAACTCAAGCATTCAGCTGCTTACCTCTGCATCTCTGATGCCGAAGTAGACACGCCCCGCCATAGCAGCAGGACGAGTCCCGTAATCCCAACCAGCAGTATGAACCGTGTCCGCGTCACGGCGTTCCATAGCGCTCTCGTCGGCGGGATCTGCGCCCTCGCCGACTTCCAGTCCAGTCCGCCCTTGGGGAGCAGCATGATGGCCTCTCAACGCGCGCCTCGGTTCCCTGAAGTTACTGGGGCAATTGGCGCTTCAGGGCAGAACTCGTGGTTCGAATGTCGCTCAGCCGGTCGCAGGCTTCGGGGATGACACGGAAGGATTCGAGAACGGCCGACGGGGTTACGAAGCGTTGAACCAAGAAGCAAGCATAAAAAGAAGAGGAGGGCCTGTAAACGAGAGTGGAGGCGACACCTGGGGTCAGGCCAAGCAATCAAATACGGTAGCAGCCCAGCACGACACGGAGCCAGCGTTGTATTAACGAGAGGCGGCTGGACAGAAGGATACAACAGAAGAAGGGGGAGCAGTCGGCTGGCGACTGGAGACTGGAGATAGAGAGGGTGCTCCGTCCCGTATCTTAGCGGCCCCGACCAGATTTGCTGTTCAATGTCCTGTTGAAAAGTCTACCCGTTCCAATTGGGCAGTGCAGGCCATACGGGTACATGAGCGATACCTTCATACTCTCGCTGCAGCCGGCGCCGAGAGTGGCGCCCCCTGGTACCTGAAATGTTGCGCTTTAGCGACACCCGAGTCGAGGCACTGCACTCTGGCTGGATCCAATCCTTGTGTCAATCGAGACGCGCTAATCAGGAGGTGAAGAAACCCAGACAAGTCCAGAGTCCAGACCGTGCTGGATGCTACCCTGCAGAAGACGTGAAATTACCGCCTTGCGGACCAACGCAGTCGAACATGTGATGTGCTAGGGATGAAATACTGTTTCTGTAGTCGTTTGAAGCATTGCCAGTTCCCTCAGGTTGACCCAACCGGATACTTCAACAACTAGACTATCTATCAAGCTGACGTTGAAATCGGTGGCAGTGGGAATAAAACCTGGTGGCAACCCCAGCATACAAGCATACGAGTACCTATGTATGTATAAGCCTGCGGAATCCCGCTCCGCAAGATGACGGGGAGCAAATCAGATCTCAACACAGATCAGGAACGGGGACTCCAACGACCCAGTCGGTCGGCAACTTTGTTCATGAACATCTTACCCAGTTGAGAACTCTCAACCTTGGTTGGACGTTGTGGCATCGCCTCTCGCAGCCTTTAAAAGGGCCTCTCTTCTCGCAGTGCCTTCACCGACCGACTCTTGCCTTCCAAGTCACTCCGTGATTATCACCACGCAATTTGCCGTGTTGCTGTGCATGCCGGTACTTCGTGCCTACTTGAAACCGTGATGACAAACCGAACGCAGATCGCAAGACCAACAGGACGCAATTGAACGGATTTTACTGCATCTTCATCCATCCATTCACATCTTAGAAAGATTCCAGGCTTTTGCTTTTCTGCGAATTGTCAGTGCTCAGTCAGCCTTTCGACCGCATCTACTAGGTAGACGGAGCAGCGCATGCGACACCTGGCTGCGGCATACAGACCACTGACACTGAGGGCATCTTCGCTGGCCTCAACACCATACTTCAGCAAATACACAGCGATGGCGGCCACACGGCGGTCTGCGCGCATCAGCAGCAGGGCGAGCGCCCAGGAAGCCGCCGAAGCTGCCAAGGTTGTGACAAAGACTGTCACAAAGACTACAGCGAAGAGTGCGAAGACTGCAAAGACGACCAAGACCACCAAGACGTCAAAGCCTTCTACAAAGACTGCAAATATCACTGTCATAGATGGCGACGATGGCGATGCTGCCGACGCCGCCGCTTCCCCTCCCCCAAAGGAGAACATGAGGAAGAGAAAGACGGTCCCGGAACCTGAGCCCTCGGCGCCCAAAACGCCGACCAAGAAGCAGCGCCCAGCTGCTCCCCCCTTAACGCCCACCACCAGCGCCGCACAACTCAATGGGACCAAAGGCACCGCTCACAAGTCAGTTACCCGCCTCGCGGATCCTAGATTCTCCAATGCCACGCTGCTGTCGCCGGAGACGTCGCGGGTGATTGCGTCACGCAATGTGGAGGCAGTGTCGCCTTCAAAAGCACCCTCCATTGGCGTCAGGACGACGACAACAGCGACAATCCTGAAAGAGGCGTGCGATTATCTCATCAAGGTCGACGAGCGCATGCGGCCCCTGATCGAGAAGCACCATTGCCACGTCTTTTCTGCCGAGGGGCTGGCGGAGAAGATTGACCCGTTCGAGAGCCTGGTGAGCAGCATCATATCGCAGCAAGTCTCCGGCGCGGCGGCCAAGTCCATCAAGAACAAGTTCATCGCCCTCTTCTTCCCAGAGGGCCAAGCCGTGCCTGTGCCGCCGCCCGCCGACGGCGACCCTCCTCCGGCCGAGCGCATCTTCCCCACGCCGTCCGAAGTCGCCGCGTGCTCCATCGAGCGGCTGCGCACCGCGGGTCTCTCGCAGCGCAAGGCGGAGTACGTGCAGGGCCTGGCCGAGAAGTTCGCCAGCGGGGAGATCACGGCCCAGATGCTGCACGACGCGCCGGACGAGGAGCTCATGGAGAGGCTCATTGCCGTGCGCGGGCTGGGCAAGTGGTCCGTCGAGATGTTTGCCTGCTTCGCGCTCAAGCGCATGGACGTCTTTTCGCTGGGCGACCTGGGCGTGCAGAGGGGCATGGCCGCCTTCGTCGGCCGGGACGTGGCCAAGCTCAAGAACAAGGGAGGCAAGTGGAAGTACATGTCGGAGCAGGACATGGTGGAGCTGTCTGACAAGTTCAGTCCGTACCGGAGCTTGTTTATGTGGTACATGTGGAGGGTGGAGGAGACGGATATCAGTACCTTGGAGTAGTTGGGTGGGTGTGTCTATACCTTATTGTGTCTATACCTTATTTCCAGATGCTTTATTGAGTATTTTGTGGTCATGTAATGCCATTGAACGAGCTCTCAATATCCAACTTCATTCTCCTGATATCTGATGCGAGGTGCTTCAGCATTTACAGGGATGGGAGCGCCAACTACCATGCATTGAACGGTCTTAGCAGGACTGCAAATCGAAGATCTGATAGAGAAATCCCTAATGAACACTGTGAACGAATACTTGACAGATCATCTCCATATAAGATCCACGAACTGCACCTTTGTTCGGCCCACGACGGGGTACTATATCTGACATCCCTACCACCGCACATAGGTACAACGCACATGCGTCTCCCGTGACATCCGTCACCCTTCGTGCAAAATGCTTGTTTTACGCATCTCACAAGAAGCCTAAAATAAAAGTTTGTTTTGGAATGTCGAGCGGTCACGGCTCGGCGCGGGTGACACGCGCAGCCGTCTCACATGAAAGACGAAGAAAGGTTAAGGGAACCGCATCTCAGCTACCCCAGAGGCGAGGGAGGCTGTTTAATCTTTCAATGTTACTATAAGGCGGGCAGGTCAGAAGAGCGTAAACAGGGTTATGTGCACGTTTTGGAGAAGAGATAATGTTTAGTGATATTTCGGAGCGGTATTAGGCAGGGAGGGCATTCAAGATCCTTAAAAGAAAGGGAGATTAAGACCGGGTGAGATAGCAACAACAATCACTTTCTGGGCGCTGTTATGATTCGAATCTAAACGGTTTTAAACTTCTGACTGACTGACTGATACGGGAACTGTAGTATCAATACGGACCAAGGTCCTTCCTTGCTTGGAAGCTCTACAAGGAAGACTGTACGCACTCGTATTGCTTCCCGTCGTACGAGCCGGACGGAGCAGCCGCATTGGCCTCCTTGCTGTCTTGTAAGTAAACGGACTCATCCTTCAACCAAGAGCAATGCAGCCTTCGTATCGGAAAATGATGAGAAGACGAGCGTCAGTAGGGAGTACAGGCATCGGGCATTGTCCGGTGATTACAACTACATCTGATGCGATTGACTGGTGCAGAGTTATCAGATTGTTTGCCTTTCTTGAATTCTTTGTAAGACGTTGCCGTCGTAGACCAGCAGTGTAACAAAATAATAAGACTGAATGCAAGCTTGACTTCATCGCTCGGTAGCACAATCGCGCAAGAGAGTTGCCTGCAGCAGTGTGCTTGGCTCGCAGTGCCATATCGTCACTGCCGCACTTTGTACCTACTTTGATAGAATCCGGACAGCTTCCATCTTGCTTCGCCCACAGGGTAATGGTCAGGATACATAACACAGGTGGTATTGCTCTGCGACCTGAGGTCAACTGACACAGATGGAAATGCTCTAATAATAGCTAATCAGTAGTACTCGTCGCCAACTTGGCCATCGAGATCTTCATCGCGCTTTTGATATCGACCATGGGCCCAATGCGCATGGAGTCGACTTGTTTAAACTTCTCGTATCGCATTTGTGTGATTCGCATCGGACACTATTGGAGCGTCGGCAGAAGGAGGTGTGGCACAACCCACCGCGCCAAGCGGCCACGACGATTCAAGAAGACCTTCCACGGGCCAATGCGTCAATGCATGCATGGCCTTGAGTGGTTGCAAGACTCGTGCTCGTCATCGTCGGCATCGCCAACCGGCCGGCGATGCCGTGGGGCCGCTGTCGGGGGAAACAAAGCAGGCGGGAGACGGATCGTGAAACGCTGAAACAAACTGGCCAGAGGCGCCCCGTAACGAAGAAAGGAGTTGGGATCAGATGCCATCGGCAGCGCAGTCAGTATCGTCCAGTTGCTCGGAGTCTGCGCTCCGGCCTAATTATGGAGAGCAAATAGGCCGCCGACGGGTCGAAACTATCGTGCTGGTCCGGGTTTGGATGCTGCCAGGCTGACGGGACTCCCTGCGTGACTCCTCGGCAGTGTTTGAGAATCCTCGCACTGGCGCTGCAGCTAATCTGGCGAATTATTGCTGGCCAAGGGAATGGGAAAAAGGAGAGCCGGCAAGCCTGCTTCTCCAAGGCAATGCGCGGCCGAAAACTCCGCTGCAGCATGAGTGGCCAGGTCAGGACGACCTGAGGCCAGCCGGGCAGGGGGGCGGATACCTTCGTCTCCCCGAGTTGACTGTACTCGTACTTGATGAGAAGCTCTTCGCGAGATGCGCTTCGTAAGAGCTTGCAATAACCGGCTCCAGAGAGGAGCAGCCAGTCACTCGCAGGAGCTAAGCAAATTCAATTGCTGTTAGCTCGCACATGCCCGTGGCCATGACGGTGCCGAGGACTGGAGAAGAGCAAATCTTGTCCCAGCTGTGCTAGTGGCTTGCTCTAGCTGTCTGTCTAGCTCGGACGCGAAGTTGGAGTGGCGCACGCGATAGATACGATCTGCAAGTCGACGTCGTCGTGATGGGATTGATGGCATCAACGCGCATAATCGGGATCAGCGATGCGCTGGACAGTGTGTGAATGAATGCCTTCGCGATGCCGCTGTGATGGTGATGCAGAGCTCTTGCAGTCAATGTCTGATTGCGATGGTGTGAGTTTCAATTGATGCTGCTGCAACACGAGACCGGAGAAGCATGTACAGGTACCGGCGGCTGTCGTACCGCCAAATTGCAAGTTGCAGCTGGCCCACGGGTTGTTCGATTACGCGGTTCAGCCAGTGCAGGCCTCCCGAGGTGAGATTCTTATTGCAGTCGGTTTTCAAGGTTCCGGGTACTTTGGGGAGTTGCCGCCAGTACTTGGACGCATGCGGGAACGCCGTACCTACATTAGCACGCGGAGCTTGTATCGAATCCATGGCCATGGGGTTCTCCGTACAGGCGCCCGTACCCGTATCTGGCGGAAAGGGCAAGGCAATGAATGAGTCCGCTTCTGTGCCTGGATTTTGATTGACTTTACTCTTTGGTACAGTAAAGTACCTGCCCGACCGGTTTAGTGAAGCAATTGAGTCCGAAGCAAAGGAATCCTCTGCTGGGAGGTTGCCTGCCTTGCGTCGCCAGGTCAAACAGAGCACAAGGAGTTGGAATCGGTGATGCACTGCTCCCAAGCTCCGTATGCCGCGCACGCCCGTGCACGGAGTACAAGTACATGTGGTGAAGAAGCACGAGAACGGCAATAAGGTACCTCAGTATCAGGGACGGTCAGCTCACCTGTGCCTGTTTTCTCCAGACGAGTCGTGCGCTACGTTCAGCCATCGCTCTGCCACCGTCTCCGTTTATTGTTTGTTCTGCATGTCTCGTCGGGTTGTTTTTCGTGCCTCATTACATCGAGAGACACAACAAGCCTGGCCGCATGTCACGGCACAGGCCTCATCAAAGGGCAAATTATCGAGTCGAGGCCCGGTGGGTCGGCGTGCCCTTTGCAGCGGTCGCCCGTCCCACCCACACCCCCTAGAGCTCCATTCCCAGGGGAGACTTGGGGCATCGCTCCCCTGGCCGGCCCTGCCAGCGGCCTCTCATTGGCGCCTCGCGCAGCAGGGGGTGCCGCCTGGTTTCGTCCCAGGAACAGGATTCTTCTTCCCTTTTCTCCTCTCCTTCTCCTCGCCTTCTGCCCTCCTCTCTCGTTTACTGTTGCCGTCGTCTCGTCGTCGTCCTGCCATCTTCACTTCCTGCCACTCGTTATCAGGCCAAGCAAGTTTGCGCTATAGCTTCTTATTCTTACCCTTTTTCTCCCCCCTTCACCATCACCATTCCGTCCAACTCCAGACTTCGCGGCCAGCCAATAGCCACTATTTTGACCACCATCATTTCGAGACATCTCTAGCCCGTTGCCCAAGGAACGTTTCCATATTTTTTTCTCGCGTCAAGGAAAAAGATCGACTCAGCTACAAGGTGTGTGAGTTCTCCTGGTTTCGCTTGGCTTGTGCTTGTGCTTGTGCCGTCCGCATCGCCTCGCTGCTTCTCCCTCGATCTCCGCTTCACCACGGCGCGCTGCAAACTTTCACCTGCTCTGCTCTTGCTCTGCTGCTTCCACGCACAAATCTGCTTCACCGGCTCAGCTTCGACTTGCGCCCGCGCCGAAAGCAAGCTTTGCTGCTGGTCCTCTGGTTGCGACTGCGCTCGCTCTCACCTCCGCTCTTTCAATCTCAAACGCGCTCTCGTTCTCGAGCCCAAATTCCACACCATACCTTCCTGAACTCGCCAGTGGCAGACTCGAGGAGGAATTATTTACACACCTGGGCCATCGTTTGAAGCGACCGAGATCTGAATCCCGTCAACATCTTTTTGGTCTCGACTCGTGCCTTTTGGACCGGCTGCATAGTTTAAACGCCACAGTCAGACGCCCCCTTATTGAAGCAAGCAGAGCACCGAGCCCAGGATCGCATCACACAGCCGCCTTGACCATTTCCTTTACTTTGTTAGACGCGTTTTGGGAACCCTGTTGCTGACGTTTCTTGTCCAGATCAGAATGCATTCCTCCAAGCTTTTCTCAGCCGTCCTGGCTGCTGGTGCTGCCAGCCTGGTCTCTGGTAAGGCCCTGCCCATCATGTGTAAGGCGACGACAACCTGCTAACCCAGACGACAGCTGCCGATTCCTGCTCCAAGGACATCAAGGTCACCAGCCCTAACCCGGTCATCACCTGCGAGACCGTCAATGCCAACATTATCGTCGACGAGTCGGTTGCCGGTGACCTGATCATCGACGGACCCAAGCAGATCAAGGGTGACTTCATCGTCAACAACGCCACCCAGCTCATCTCCATCCAGAGTACCACAATCAGCTCCATCACCGGCAAGTTCGAGCTTGACAGCCTCGAGCTTCTGAGCTCCGTTAACATGCAGGCGCTCAAGACCTTGAACGAGCTCAACATGGTCAAGCTGCCTCAGCTCAACGCCCTGGTCTTTGGCACTTCCGGTGTTACCAAGGCCTCCTCCATCCAGGTCACCGACACCTTCCTCAGTGATCTGAGCGGTCTCAACATTAACAGTGTCGACACCCTGACCATTACCAACAACAACAAGCTGACGGCCTTCAACTCCGACCTGGTCAACATCACCAAGCTTCTCAGTGTCTCCAGCAACGGAAACAACATGGAGATTAACATGACCAAGCTCCAGTCTGCTGCCGAGATTCAGCTCTCTAACGTCAAGAGCTTCCTCGTCCCCAGCCTCAAGACCATCAGCCAGTCCCTCAAGTTCGATACCAACCCCCAGCTGGTCACCTTCAGCGCCAAGAACGTCACCAAGATCGGCGACAGTGTCACCTTCATCAACAACAACAAGCTCACCAACGTCTCTTTCCCTCTGCTGACGTCCGTTGGTGACCTGACCATCCAGAACAACACTGCTCTGGATGCCGTTGAGGGTTTCCCCAAGCTGGAGACTGTTGCTGGCGGTGTTATCCTCCGCGGTAACTTTGACAGGTGAGTCGCGGTCCCTCTTCTCGGATCTGACCTTTTTCGTTTCCGTTACTAATCCTGCATCTTTACAGCGTTGAGCTTCCCAGCCTCAAGGATGTCAAGGGCGGTGTCACCGTCTACTCTACCACCGACATTTCTGCTTTCTGCGGCTTCTTCAACAATGCTAAGTCTAAGAAGATTATCCAGGGTCAGGAGTCCTGCAAGAGCAACGTTAAGGCCGCCAATGAGGGAGGTAGCGACGGTGACTCCAGCACTTCTAGCGGAAGCGGCAGCGGCAGCGGTAACGACACTGACAACGCCGTCGCCGCCCTCAACGTCAACAACTTCCTCCTGGGCGCGTCCGTTCTCGCTGGTATGGCCCAGCTGTGGTAAAAATCTTTCGGAGGGACGATGGGTCGGAATTTGGCGTCAATCTCTGTTCTCCCAGCTGTTTTCTGTTTTCTTTTTAGCCAACACATTGTGGTTTCGTCAACCTCTCCCACGCCTTGGCTGTCACGCCCCCCTTTTGTGCGTTCGCGGCACTAACGCTAGACTTAATAATGGAAATGTACTTCACAATGTCGCCACGCTTTTCCCCCTTTTCCTTTCGACGAGCTCGACATGATGCACGGCTCGCATGCTGTACTGTGTGCTGCGTCATGAGTATATGCCGGTGACAAGCTGGCTATCGCTGTCGGGCTGGAGGTGAAAAGGGTCTTTACGTGTGTACGGGTATTGGTGATCATTCTATCACGATTTGCACCTTTCTTTAGACTTTCTTTTACCGGTGTTGGTGTATGTTAGACTTAGGGTACTTTATACCACTTCTTGCCTCTTGTTTAACCAACGAATCTTGCCTACTACTAGTATCTGACGACTTATCACTGCTGCATGCCTACACATGGCAAGAAAGTGCCGTCGTTCACAAAAGCCTCCCGCTGCCCTAACTAGTCGTATCTACGTAGATGCCCTTTTCAAACTGTTCCGTATCGTAAAACTTTGGAATGATGTTGTTGCCGTTGAAAACACGGCCGTCCAGCTCATTGACTGCCTGGACCAGTGTTAGTAAGGGGCTAATAACTTGCGCTGTCCTGCCTCATTTTCCCAAAAGATATAAGACTTACTCGCAAGGCGGACACTTGGTCTGTGAACTTGATGAAGACCTGGCGAGTCTCCACGTCAATGTACAGTCTCTCGACTCGTCCATACTACGTCACACAAAATCCGTTAGCACAGCTTGTCCAGTGAAGCCCTTTTTTCTTCTCCAGCAACGGCTCACCTTATCGCCGCACTCCTCCCCAATCTCCTGCCCTAGGCCGTCGGCGATCTCGGCCTCGAGGTCGGGCATGTTGTCGAGCATGTTGCGCAGCACAATGACCTCGCTCATGGGGCCGAACTTGCTCGCGCCCTCGCCGTCCTTGCGCCGGCCGCCGATGATCTTGGCCTTGTTGGCGGGATCGGCCCAGCCGCCGCCGTCGGCGTCGGCCCTCTTGCGGCGCTTCTCGACCTGCACGCGCAGGGGGTTGAGGATGCCTGATTCGTTGGCGCCGAGTGCGGCGCCCTTCGTCCAGCCGTACTTGGACATGAGGCGCTGGGCGAAGCCGGCTTGGCCGGGGCGGTTGGTGCGTTGTTGCTGGGTGTCTGTGTCTTCGGGGGTGTTGTTGGCGTCTTGGTCGGTTTGGTTGAAGGTTGGTGGTGGTGAGTAGCCTGCGTCGTCGTCGTCTTCGTCGTTGGCGCCGTTGTTTGAATTGTGCCTGGTTCTTCTGAGGGCGGTGGTGGAGCGGGAGGTTGTGATGATTCGGAGGTTTGGGGCGGTGGTGGCGATGGTGGAGGTGGTGGAGGTGGAGGATGTTGTTGGCCTGAGAGGGCCAGACGGCGGGCATATGCTTCGTCTGCGGTTTCCTCTGGGGCTGGAGCGGCCGGAGGAGATCTGGGGCGCGGCGCAAAAGAGTACGAAGCTGGCGGAGCAAATTGATCTGAGAAACAAGTTAGTTTGGTGAAACTGCTTCCTAGGTCGCCATAGGAGAGGGCCGTGAGATTACTCGGAGGTGGTGCTGTCTCCTCATCCGAGTCTGACAGATCGCTTTCTTCCTGCCTCTTGCGGTGCCGATATAGCAACGCCTTCCACTCTCTGACTTCCTCTACCTTCTCGTCGCTCTTGAGAAACTCGTCCACGTTTGTCGGTCTCGTCGGGTCGTACATCTCGTCCCAATTTGTCTCGAACTCTTCCTGTCGCTTCTTCCTCTTTTTGCGACCGCCGCGCTGGCGCTTCTCTCCGATGCCGTACATCCACTCATCTTCCTCTGTCACCGCCCAGTCGGCAAGCGTGCTCTGATGCGGTATTGATTGCGCAGCTCTAGCGGCTACTGCTGGGGCAGTCGCTGAGGCTGCGGCAGGTGCGGTTCTGGGGATGGCTTTGGGGAATGTCGTCTTGGCTTTGGGCTGCTTCACCTGCGGACGTCGTATAGGTTGGAACTGGAGCGCGGCATTGTTGAGTGGCTTCTTGGCTGCTTGGTCGCCGGCTGTTGATCCGCCTTGCTTGTAGGTCACCGGCGCGGATGAGATTGTCGCTGAGGGTGAGGGATCGTTGGGATCGTGAAGGTTGTCGTAGAGGGAGAGTCCTCGCGGCGGAGGAGCCGCCATGTTTGCGCCCGTCGATGAATATTACTTGCTATAATGGTTTGTATTGCGGCATTTGGTGAGTTATGCAAGATTTAGTTAAGAAAGGAGGTAAAGTCAGCTTCGTAAATCACCAATATTCTGACGAGACATCCAAGGTAGAATGGATATCAGTGAGCTTCAATGGACAAGGCACGATTGATTGGGACGTCCCTTGTCTATCTCCTTGCTCCCGCCTCACATTCAGTGGCTGGAGAGCTATGGCGCGGCCTGGCAAAACTCCGGCAGCGCCACGCCATCCCTGCTACCTAGTGACTTGCCTTACGGTTAGCTCAACTCAGCCAGAGCTGCAGTCCACCCCTCCAACGGACCCCACCAAAACTCTTGTCTTTCATTCGAACTCAACAAGACATCGGCTTTCATCTTTCGAGGCTTGAAACTTCTATCTTTGACGACATATCAGGCGCGTCAAGGCACGGTGTCCCCTTCTTTTTCTTCTCCTTTCTCTCATCAGAATACACACAAGTCGCAGACAGTTGCAGGCAGACTGTCTTCAGCGTCTTCCCTTGGTCTCTACGCTTGTCTCTGACCCCCATCGACTTACGAACCCGATACTTCTACCAACCGATCTCACGCCTCCAAAATGTCTGATCTCGCCAGTCGCATCACGAAACCCGACGAGGCGGCTCCGGCCGAGAAGCAGCCCGAAGCTGAAGCTCCCGTCGTTGAGGCGCAGAACGACGGTGCTGTTGAGGAGCTGGGTGGCTCTGGCCTGCAGGAGCCCGAATGGGATGTCGAAGTTTCCCTTAGCGATCTCCAGAACAATGAGGCGACACCCTTCCACTCTGCCACGCGATGGGAGGACATGGGACTGTAAGCATCCATTGGCTGCATAGATACCATTAATGGCATCTCGCTAACTATCTTGCTGCCCATAGTTCCGAGGACCTGCTCAAAGGCCTTTTGGCTCTCAAGTTCTTGAAACCTTCGAAAGTGCAGGGAAAGTCCCTTCCCTTGATGCTTAGCGACCCTCCGAGGAATATGATGGCTCAATCGCAATCTGGAACTGGAAAGACGGCGGCGTTTGTTACTGCCATCCTGTCGCGTGTCGACTTCAGCAGACCTGAGCAGCCGCAAGCTCTGGCTCTGGCTCCCAGCCGTGAGCTGGCTCGTCAGATCGAAGGCGTCATCAATGCTATTGGTCGATTTATCAAGGAGCTCAAGGTTGCCGCGGCCATTCCAGGTGCCCTCCCTCGCGATCAGCCAGTTCGATCGGCAGTTATTGTTGGAACACCAGGTACCGTGATGGATATCATTCGACGTAGGCAGTTGGATGTCTCCCAACTCAGGGTCCTCGTCTTGGACGAGGCCGACAACATGTTGGATCAGCAGGGAATGGGCGATCAGTGCCTGAGAGTCAAGAAGTAAGCTTCCTTGATGCCGCTGTAGGAGAGCATGATGGCTAACCTGCGGATGTAGCATGCTGCCCAAGAACATCCAGATCCTTCTCTTCTCTGCCACTTTCCCCGACAAAGTGGGCTCCTATGCGCAGAAGTTTGCGCCAAATGCCCACTCGCTCAAACTACAGCGCAACGAACTTACGGTCAAGGGTATTTCACAAATGTTCATTGACTGTGCCGACGACAACATCAAGTACGATGTGCTCTGCAAGCTCTACGGTCTGATGACCATTGGACAGTCTGTCATCTTCGTCAAGGTATGTGGTTCCAAAGGGTCAGGACACGAATTTCGTTGGAGCTTTATTGACATGTCGAATAGACCCGTGAAAGCGCCAACGAGATCCAGAGACGCATGGTGGCTGACGGACACAAAGTATCCGCTCTGCACGCTGCCTTTGACGGCAACGAAAGAGATGAGCTGCTGGCCAAGTTCCGGAATGGCGAGAACAAGGTTCTCATCACCACCAACGTTCTGGCCCGTGGTATTGACGTGTCGACCGTGTCCATGGTCATCAATTACGATATCCCGATGAAGGGCCGCGGCGATACTGAGCCGGACGCCGAGACATACCTCCACCGTATCGGCCGAACCGGACGTTTCGGCCGTGTCGGTGTCAGTATCAGCTTTGTTTACGACAAGAAGAGCTATGATGCCCTCAGCAGCATTGCCAACACCTACGGGATCGATCTGGTTCGCCTCGACACCGACGACTGGGATGAGGCTGAGGAACGAGTCAAGGAGGTCATCAAGAAGAACCGAGCTCAGGCTGCTTACGCGCCAAGCGCAACGGACAACGCGGCCAAGGCATCCTAGAGAGGTGAATTTGACTCGTGGATGACGATGTGAACTGGCGGCGAATCTCGTATATATCTTTTCTTCTTTTTTCTGCATGATGAGATTGCCGCAATACAACGCTTGATGATGGATGGTACGATAATGGGGGGTTTATACAAGAGGATCTGTAGAGTATGGCACGACAAGATACCAAAAATTGCAGAGTTGTGTATTTAATTTACGGGACGGCTGAGATGATGGTTACCTTACAATGGTCTAGTTCTTTCGTGGCGTTCGTTCCCTATCTTCTGTACGTGCCTACCATCTGGCTGCAGTGAAGAGCGACGACGGGAATCTGTACTATCAGCGCGGCAACAGCGGAATTTGAACCATCACGGCTGGAGGCAGTGATGGAGAGTGGCATTGGGATGGAATCCGTGCTTCAAGGATCCGTCTCTGAATTTTCCGGCACATGACTGTGCGGCTAATACCAGCGAGATTCTGGTGGCGAAATAGGCCTGGACTTTACCGTACGGACGGCCAACTGCCGAGTCGTACGTACGAGTATGTACAACCAGCGCCGCAAGTTGTGTTGCACATACATGGCCAAGATGGCATCTTGAGACGTAGATGTCCGTTTTCTTTCCGTTGCTGCCTCTACGTACGAAGTATTGAACACGCAAGGATATAAACGAGGTTAGGTACACCGATCATCGGGGGACGTTTGTTTGATGGCCTCGCCGGCCACCTCTTGTCTTTTTATCAACCTTTTCGGAAGAGGCTCACGTCATGTAGTGCTACGGCACGAAAGCAGAGGCATGTACGGAGTACTCCGTACGACGCTTGGTCGAATATTTGCGCATGTGAAGGGCATTGACAAGAGGGGTTGGTTGGGAGGTTGGGTGCTGCATGGGCCTAGGCTTACAGGAGGCTGGAGATGCCTTCTGCATGTAATTAAGTGCAGGTGGCTGGGTGGCAGCACTCTTGCGGCCTTGAAGCGGATGGAGGTGTAGGATGGAAGCATGTAATACTACGCAAGCCCGGAGATAGTGGTACGGGAATCAAGGCAAGCAGGTGGGCATGATTCGGACGGCTGTGGGCGTAAACTGCACCATCCGTGACAGAGTGATGCTGATGGATGTGTGAATGGATGGTGCCCTTTGGCGCTGTCACACACTGATTGTATGATAGGTATGATTGATAGCCTCGGTCATAGTATCGCCGATGAGGCAGAGCTTGGGTGACTGACTGACTATGTGATGATTCTTGTCCCTCATGTGAGCTACAATCCCCACCATTATGTCACTGCAGCGCCAAGAGCGGAAAGAAAACAAGGAAAAGGGAACGGAAACCAAACAAAAGAGAAGAACATCACCAAAAGTCGAAAGAGGCGCGTGTGAATAAGACCATCCAGAGAAAAAATTACGCGGTGAAGCATCTCACGTGTAGTTCCCAAGGATTGGCGCTCCAGTGCTTGCCCCCACTCTTTCCTTCCCTCCTCTCGTCTGGCTTGACCACCATCCACCACACCGCCTAACTGCAGAAAAGCCACTAGAAATTTCACATTGCCGTTATTAGCACGCCTTGCATGATAGCGCAGCTCTGCTTTGAGACATCGACAGGGAACGAGAACAAAGAGAGAGAGAGAGCAAGAGCATCGTAAGGATCCCCTTTTCCTCGCATGAAGCCAGTGGCAACAGCTGTCTCGACGGCAGAATCGGAGTTTTCCCTCTACTATTGCACTGTACACTGTGTGCGTCAAGTACATATGACAGTCGGCTGATATTCTTCACTCGCAGCAAGCAAGCAAGCAAGCCATTCGACGCACCCTGGCAACCGGGCCATAGCTCTGAGAATTTTCTCCCACGGAAACAATCCCTGTCAACAAGTGTCGGCTGTGGCTCCATTGCCGCCGCGCCGGTTGGCCAGAAGGGAACCAGCCTCTCCAAGACGGGCAGCGCACACGAGTGGCTTCGGGGTGGCTTGACGGCTAGTAAGTGGTGCGAATTCTTTCCTGTTTCCCATGCAATATCGTCGTTCGAGAAGGAAAAAAAGTCATCCAGGGGGACCCTCTGCAAGTCATGCCCTCTCACGCAAGTCATTACCGGCCTCGCCAAAGAGAGGGAGATTCGATAAGATACTCGGCCACCCAGCAATCTTCTTCCACAGATAATCGACGCATAACGTCCAATGCCGATAGATCCCGGGGGTAGAGCTGCATGGGAGCAACCGCGGGGCATCGAGAGGCGAGCCACGTAGCACGCCTGGAGAGCGAAGCCAGTCACGGCATGCATCCCACATGTCCATCCAGCCTTCGCGGACGCATTCTCAGGCGCTAGGAGCTGCACGGTGGGCGCTTGTTGATATCGCTCACAAGCTGGAGCCACTCGGCCCACTGCTAGCCAGCTCATCTGGCCGCCTGCTCATGGTTGCTCTTGGCTGGCCGCTGTGATTTGCCCGGCCACGCTTCGCTCCCACTTTTCGTTGGTTCACCATGCATGTTCCATTCTCGCTGCGTCGGGCAGCTACCAAGTACTACCACCACCGTCCTGTCAGCCCGTGCGCTTCCAAGTCATGTCTCAACCCGCAGATGCGGCCGGGCTGGCGACGAGGCCGACTGCTGAGTCCAATCGCGGAGCGGCGCGGCGGGCGAGAATGACCTCGTCTTGCCAATTGGGCCCTCCCATGACTGCTATCGAGCCCGCGTGTGGAGTTCTGATCTCTGTTGCGTGGGGAGGGGTTTCTGGTCCGGAATTGTGCGTCTACTTGGCCTGTGGGCTCCGCATCGTCAATCCTCTCTGGTTCGCTTGTGGACGACCATGGGTGCAATTTTGACCTGGGACGTGCTTTTTTGGATGGGCCCATGCAGCTCGAGGAAAACAAGGCTCCAAGTGGTGTCATCTCAAAGACTTTACTGACTTCCCACCTGTTCGCAGGTTTCAGAGAGGAAAAAAAAAAAACCTCCTGCATCGTACATAACAAACTACACTCTGAATCCCGCCATCATCCGTACCCAATAGGCTGCTACATTCGTTTTCAAGCAGCCACAGACATCCGTGTCCTCAAGCGCCAAGGCCCAAGAGAGCGGCCGTTTTCCTCATTGGCGCTCTTCACCTGCATCTGTCGGACAATTCTCATCACAGTGCAGCTTGTATGGAGGTCGATAATAAAGCCGTGCCCCAACTCGCCCAGCCCGAAGAGTTTGCGGTCTCAGAGGTCGACAGGGCAAAGGAAGTATGACCACCGCCCAAGAAGTCGAATACTGTCCCGTCAGGACGAACATAGACTTGTCCAATGTGCAGTTCTCTGACTTTTCCAACGTGCAGTACTTCGAGCAAAATGACTCCGAGCTGGGGTCCAAGGTGTCATTAGACAACAAAGGTACGCTGGCGAGAGAACATTTGGAGCGCCTTGTTATTCTCCAAAACTTCCAATGCTAATTTTTTGCGGCAGAAAATGACGCCCCTCAAGAGTCCGTTGCGGCCGAAGACCAGCCTGAAGATGCCGAGGTAGAAGGAGAGGTCGCGGCGGAGCCCACTTCTTCCAAAAACAAGAAGAAAAAGAAGAAGAAGAACAAGAACAAGAGCGAGAGCCAGATAACCTCGCCTATAGACTCCACCGACAGCGTCGCCGCGGCTGAGATCAAGGCTGAGGGGGCAGAAACCGCCGAGCCAGCGGAGCAAGACACCACAGTTACCCCTCCTCCCGAAGAGTCAAATGTGGTAGCTGAAGACGAGGTGAAGAAGGACAAGAAGAAGAAAAAGAAGAAGAAGAAGAGCAGCCCCAAGAACTCCGAGACAGATGTGACCTCTGATGGCGCTCTCGACCCCGCCCAGCCCCCGTCGCCGCCGGCCACAGACGAGGGAAGAGGTGAGGACGAAGCTACGCCGGTTGCAGAGGAGAAGGCCGAGGCCGAGACCGACACCGCAGCCCCAGAGCATGCGGCCGATGTCGAGGCGCCCAAGGACGACAACGCGGCTGATACCGAGCACTCACACGACGCTGCTCCCGTCTCCGAAGAAGTGAAGCCGGAGGCCGAGTCGGAAGTTCACCAAGAAGAAGCCGCCGCTGCTGAGGAAGAAGTGAAGCCGACCGAAGATTCAGCTGCTGAGACTGCACAGCCCGAACACGCAGAACCAGAGGTGGAGGCCGCTAAAGAGCACGAGCAGGAGCACGAGCAGACCCCCCAGGTTCAGGAGCACGAGCACGAGCACGTTTCCCAAGAAGATGAGTCTGCTAAGGAGCCAGACTCGGCGCCTGCTGCTCACGACGTCACACCTGCTGAAGAGTCTCACGAGACGGCAGAGACACACGATGAGAAGCCAGTCGAGGAGACTGCTCACACGGAAGAAACCCCAGCACCTGTCGAGGCTGAAAAGTCCACTGAGGAGCCCTTGAACGCGGCCGAGCATGCAGAGGCTGAAGAGTCGCATGCACCGGAAGAGCACAAGGAGGACGCCCAGGTTCCCGAGTCGGCTGAGGCAGACAAGGCGGAGGAGAACCATGTAGAGGTCCATGCCGAAGAGCACCCTTCGGAAGAGGACAAGCATGTCGAGGAAGCCAACACCTCCAACGACAAGCCTGTGGAGGAAGAAAAGCTTCACGAAGAGGAGAAACCCTCCGAAGAAGCCCCTTCAACAGGTGAGACGGAACCTGTCGAGGAGGAGAAGCCTGCTGAGGAGCACGAGCACCCCGACGAGGCTCAACCTGGTGACGAGGTAAAGCCTGCCGAAGAGCACCACTCGGAGGAACAGAAGCCTGCCGAAGAGGAAAAGGCCACCGAAGAGGTCCACCCTGCTGAGGAGGCAGCCCCTGCTCACGAGGAGAAGCCTGTCGAGGAGGCAAACCCTGCTGAAGAGGAAAAATCTGTTGAGGAAACTCACCACTCCGAAGAGGTTGAGCCTACCGAGGAGGTCGCACCTGCTCATGAGGACAAGTCAACCGAAGAGAAGAAGCCTCACGAAGAAGCTCACCACTCGGAAGAAGCGAAGCCCGCTGAAGAACAACACTCTGAGGAACAGCACTCTGAGGAACAGCACTCTGAAGTGGCGCCCGCTGAGGAAGAGAAGCCCATCGAGCAGGAACAGCACTCTGAAGAGGAGAAACAGTCCGAGGAGAAGCCTTCAGAGGAGGTTCATGCTCCCGAGGAGAAAGAGCCAGAGGCCGCCGAGCCTGAGCACCACGAGGAAGAAGCAAAGACTCAACATGAAGCCGAGGAGGCTCCTGAATCGACAATCGAGCCCGAGTCCGATGCTAAATCCGCCGTTGAGGAACCGGTGACCACCGCCCAAGAGGAGACTCCTGCGGTTGAAGAGAAACAGGCCGCTGATGAGGACAAGCCCGAGAGCTCTGAGAAGCCTGAAGAGTCTGCCACCGAACACGAACTCGTCGCTGCTGAGGGTGAGACGAAGGCCGACGAAGCCGACGTCGAAGCTCACAAGGAGACGGAGACCGCTGAGGAGGCGCCCGAGGACAATATGACTGAGTCTCATGAGCCCGTCAGTGAGGTACACAGTGAGGAAGCCAAGCCCGAATCGACCGAGGAAGCCAAGCCCGCTCACGAAAGCGAGGAAGCTGAGCATACTCACGACACGGAAGCTGCTAAGGAAGAGGTTCACGACGAGCATGTCGAAGCTCACCAGACTGAGGCCCCTGTCGATGGCTCTGACATCCACAAGGATGAGGCTGAAGTCACCCATGAAGAGGAAGCCGCTCCGGTTGAGGCTCAGGCTGAGGAGGCTGAACCCGAATCGGATGTCAAGGAGCCTACAGAGACGCCTGCTGAGTCAGAGGTAGCTTCTCATGAAGAGCCTGCTGTTGAGCAGTCTGAGGTTTCTGAGGAGCGCTCTGTTCCTGCAGAGGAGGCCACTGAGTCTGAACTTTCCAAGAACGAGTCCGAAGCTGCTCACGTCGCCGAGTCTGAAGTGTCCAAGAACGAGTCCGAGGCTGCTCATGTCGCCGAGTCTGAAGTGTCCAAGGACGAGTCGGAGGTTGACCAAGTCAACGAGTCCGAGGTCTCCAAGGATGAGTCGGAGGTTAACCAAGTCAATGAGTCCGAGGTCTCCAAGGATGAGTCGGAGGTTGCCAAAGTCAACGAGTCCGAGGTCTCCAAGGACGAGTCAGAGGTTGCTCAAGCTACGCATTCTGAGGTCGAGTCTCCTGCAGAGGATGTCAAGAAGCCAGAGGAAGCCGACGCCGCATCAGACGTGACTCAGGAGAAGCCTGAAACTACGGAGAGCGAAATCACCGAGGAACACGTGGCACCGGCTGAGACTGAGAGCGACGCCCACAAGGAGGCCGAGCCTGAGCCTGCTACCGAATCCGAGGTAGTTACCGAATCTGAGGCTGCTGCTGAGTCTGAGGTCGCTCCTAAGCCAGAGGTTGCTGCCGAGGCTGAGTCTGAGGTTGCTACCTATGCTGAGGTCGCTGCCCAGTCCGATGTCGCCGAGTCTGCAGTCGCGACGGAATCCGAGGTCGCTGCTGAGCACGAGCCCTCTCACGAGCACCAGCCGACTGAATCCACTGCTTCCGAACCCGTGCACGAGGAAGAGAAGCATGTGGATGAGGTGCCTGAAGTTGTCGCCCCAGCTGAGGTTGAGGAGCCTGCTGTCGAGGCCGCCCATGAAGCCGCCTCCGAGGTAACTGAAGACTCCAAGCCTTCCCATGTCGATGAGGTCACTACAGAAGCTCCTAAGGAGATTGAAACCCCGTCGGTTGTTGAAGCACCTGTCGAAGTTCCTGCTGAAGTTGAGGAACACTCTGCTGCTGAGGTAGAGACGCACTCTGAGGTGTCGCCCTCTCCAGCTCCCGTGGCTGAAGAGGCCCCGGTCGAAGCTGAACCCGTGGCTGCTGCGGTGGAGAGCGAGAAGGCACTCGTGCCGGAGCCAGTGGAGGAAGTTGTGCAGCCTGTGACTGCGGAGGTGGAGGCGCCCAAGCGCACCGAGGAAGAGGAACGCAAGGACACTGTGGGTCCTATTTCGGTCGAGAAGGACGTGGTAGAGAAAGTCAGGAAAGGTGAGGAGCAGCATTCATTACATGATACCCCTGTTGAGATTTCGGGACGGATTGGCGACTCCACATCGGGTGAGGAGTCGAAGGACGACGGCGTTTTGGCGTTGCATTCGGAAGACACTTCGGAGGCTCAAGGTCAGGCCTTGGGAGAGGAGGAGACGGTAGACGTCAAGGGAGACGAGCTTGCAAAGGCTGAGACACCGGCAGTTGAGGAGCCTGTTGTTTCTTCCAAACCTGATGTGGAGGCCGTCTCTGAGCCGCTGCCTTCTCACGATCAGGAGGATGCTGAGAAGACCTTGGCACCAGTTCTGCCGGACGAGTCCGACAAGATTGCTCTCTTTGCTGGAGCTGCTGCGGCTACCACTGTCGCCACGGCCGCTGTGGCGACTGGCGAGGTCATTCACCACGAATCCGATGACTCCAAACGCGACATCTCGGCCGCAGTTGAAGAAGGTGGGCACAAGGGAACTGCTCCGGAGCCTGTTGCTCCCGAAGCACCCAAAGCTGAGGTGACTAAAATTGATGTGGAAGACAAAGCACCTAAACAAGAAGAAACAGAAAGAGAGACTGCCCTCCCCGCTGAGGTTACGAAGCCCGTTGAGGAGCCTGTTGCAGCCCGAGAAGCTGAACCCACAACTGCCGCCGAAACCGCCGAGCCTTCAACGTCCAAGGTGTCTGTTGATGCGAAGAAGGACACCTCGCAGACTGCCCAGGATACCCCATCAGAGGAATCACCCCGCGGAGAGACTTCGACCTCAAAGGCAGTGACGACGATAGATTTCGAACAGGCAAGTAAAGAGATCACGAAACGGGCGAAGCCTCTTGAGAAAAACAAAAACTTACAAGATGTAGCCCAAGTCGTCTCTTCTGGAGGCGCTCACGGTCTGGCTACTGGCACCGTTCATGTGGCTACGCACCCAGCTGTTCGGGTCTGGAAAGAAGAAGGCGGACGAATAAACGCATTCACCACGCCCGGATTGAGCCGCAGCATCGACAGGGAGGCGCTCGATGGACCGCTGTTTACTGCAGATAGGAGAGTGGCCGCTCAATCCGACGATGGATTCCAGGCGAGGGTTGTGAGGAAGAGAGAGATGATGCCATCCCGTGAATCGGATCGAAATGCGATCCCCATAGAAGTCGCCGCCGCCGCCGCCGCAACCGCAACCGCAACTGGCCATTTTGTGCCCCCTTTACGATATCCTGCTCGTACCGTCGCCGCCGTCGCCGCCGCCGAAGGTCGCTGCTCCCCGAGGTGGCCGCACATGGCCTCCTTAGGCCCCTTGGTCTCTCCTTTGGAATTTGACCAAATGGTTCAAGATACTCCGCCTCCGCTGTCTCTTTCCGTGTTATTGGATGATGAGTTCAGAGCGCCGACACCCGCCGTTGTGGTTCCCGACAGGGCGACGATTGACAGGCGGAGGGCTCGTATGCTGCGTCACAAGCAGAAGATAGAACTTCATGAAGCTGAAGGCGCAGTCGCAGCTGCCGTGGCCCCCAATACCATTGCAGAGGCATCGAGGCCTGCCGCCCGTCTATCCTTGCCCGGCTTCCGCAACGGCGGAGACCTCCCTCATCTAGACCATCAGATGATGTTGGATTTGGAGGAACATCAGTCTCTAGCCGTCCCGACTACACGCAGGAGTAATAGTGATTCTGAGGAGGAGGATCTTCGTAAATCCATAGCTGACATTTTTGCAGAGGATAGATCTAAGGAGCACATCTCGTCAAGCAGTGACCGAGATTATGAACGGCGCCGCAAGTACCGCCATTCTCGCCACTCTTCCCATTCCAGCAGGAATCGTGGGGAAGAAGAGGGCAGAGAGTACAGAGAGTACAAAGAGAACAGAGACAGCAAGCGCCGCTCACACGAATCTCAGGGGTCAGCCTACCGCCGTTCTATTCCTGACAGCGGTGGTTCTCGACCTGGATCTGGGTCATCCAAGCTTGATACGCCACCTCGAACTCCTCGACGACGCCACAGCGGCGTGGTGGGCGAGATTCCTGTCTCTTCCAGCCGGAGATTCAGAACTCCGGAGGAGCAGGAAGCCCACGAGCAACGCAAAGCTCAACGCCGTGCTGCCCGGGAGGCTGAGCGGCTCGAAAAGCAAGAGGTGCATGTCAACGAGAGCGGTTACGAGTGGTATCAAAGTCACGAGCGGTACGGTCAACCTGAGCGTCACTATGAGCGTCGCGAAAGACGTCAGCACTACGATTTTCGAGACCAACAAGACTATCGTGCTGTTGATCGTTCCGACCGCCGTGACGCCCAAGAGCGTCCCGAATACACCCAGCGTCCCGAGCCCTTTGAACGTCCCGAACCGGCTAACAACAGCCGTGAGGTGCCAGAGGAGGTGTATGGTCGCGCTGAGAAGTATGAGCGGCGTGAACGACAAGACCGTCGCGAGCGTCGCCGTGAGCGCCGTGAAGCCTACGGAAAGACTTTGGCACCTGAGCCGGAGCCGCAGATCTTCCAGCAGCCAGCTGAGGAAAGCATAGAACCACCGCCCGCGCCCGCGCCGGCGCTGGCCCCAGCCCTGGCCCCTGCTGTTGCCCCTGCCGCTCCAGAGCGCAAGGGCAAAGAGGTGGGCTTCGACTTGCCACCCGAGGAGATCAAGCGCCATCGCAGTCGCTCGTTCCGTCAACGTTCAAGCAATACTGGTTACTCTCGAGATGACTACCCACGGCAATCTTCTCCGGAGAAGCGATTCTTCGCGATGAGCAATGCCGAAGGCGTCGTTCGCAAGTCGTCTTCGCCGCCACCTCAAGACAGGTTCGCGTACCCGCCAACACGCGATGCTTCTCTTCCCGAGGAGATGAGACCCAGAACGCGGGACCGGGACATTCCCCGGACCCGTGATCGTCGCATGTCTGAGGCTACCTACGACAGGCCTCGCAGGAGCCGCATCGAAGACCCTGCTAGGCAGTCAGGCCCACTGGAAGAGGGCGACGACGCTGCTCGGCGAGCCCGTCATGAACGCAGGCGGATGAAGGAGGCGAAGGAGCAGGAGAAGAAGTCTGGGGGGCTCAGGGGAGTTTTCAAGAGACTGTTCAACTGACTTGAGAAGGAATGGTATATGTGGCAGAAGCGGCGGCGATGGATTATGGGATCACGTTTATGCAAACGACTTAATGAATCACGCGTGTATGGATCATCTATTCTTCTTCATAGTAACGTCCTGGCCATTAGGCTGGTTTATGATAGTTTAGTTCGGTTAAAGTTAAAAGAAGGCAATTGGTTTTGAATGAAGAAATGATGGAGCTTCTTTTGCAGATTCGTGATACTGGCAAGAGGCCGATTTTCAGATCAATTCGCGTTGGCGGTCCCGAAGCACTGAGCAGGAAAGGCCGAACATCATGACGGACGACGTTGAAATTATCACGTGACACGGCGCACCTCAGCAACGAACGTTGGTTCAATCGGAGCCTCGGCACACATTGATCCGCCTCAGCCCTAATTCCGCCGAACCAACCCACCGACAGCTCAAAAAAATTCGCGAGGGTCAAAAAAAAAGTTAGGCTAAACACCAACCTCAAAGAACATCAATCCACAAAAGGCGCAGGATTTGACCTCTTTGCGTTCTTCACCTTTTCGTCCACTCAGACAAAATCTCCAACCCCCCCCCCACCAATCATCAACAATGGCTCCTACAGTATGTTCAACTACCTCTTGAAAAAATAAGAAGCGAAAGAAGGGAAACAAGCGAACGAAATGGCATTTCTACTTCTGGCTTTGCTGTAGGCGGCACAGCTTGTTGCCTCTTTCCCCCCCTTTTTCTCTTTCCCCTATCTCGCTTCCTTTTTTTTCCTTCTGAGAACGGAGGATGGAGGATGGGAGAGGGTTGAGAGAGGAGGGAGGGGGGCACGGCTGTGTCTGCTGATCTTGGAAGAAGAAAAGATTGCAGTAGGCTGATGTGAGAATTGTCATGAATTTAGAAGAAGGCGGGCAAGGCCCAGAAGCAGACCAAGAAGGTGAGTTTGTCCAGTTGCTTTTATTTCCCTGAAACCATGACAGCGCAGAAAAGATGGAAACAAGAGGGCAAAAGGAAGAAGCCAATTGGCGAAGAAGGAGGAGGAGGAGGAAAAGAACAATCTTGTCAAAACGCTGCTGCCTCAGAAGAAGTTGGGAGGGAAAGAGGACAAATGGCTAACTTGGGAACCCATCAGTTCATCATCAACGCTTCTCAGCCTGCCAGCGACAAGATCTTCGACGTCTCCGCCTTCGAGAAGTTCCTCCAGGACCGCATCAAGGTCGACGGCCGCACCAACAACCTGGGCGACAACGTCGTCATCCAGCAGTCCGGCGACGGCAAGATTGAGGTCATTGCCCACAACGACCTGTCTGGCCGCTACCTCAAGTACCTGTACGATTTGAAAACCCTCCCCCCCCTTTTTGGTCATGTTTTCTTCATGAAGTGCTAACCTGTTGGATCAGGACCAAGAAGTTCCTCAAGAAGCAGCAGCTCCGTGACTGGCTCCGTGTCGTCTCCACCTCCCGCGGTGTGTACGAGCTCAAGTTCTTCAACGTCGTCAACGATGACGCCGATGAGGACGATGAGTAATCTGCCTTTTTGCACGAAAGCTCAAAAAAAGGTCAGGGAAAAAAAAGGGAACTTAGGGGAGCCATTGTTTGGGAAACCGATAAAAGGATGGTTCTTGGTGAATTCTCCCAGCCTGGAACCCCCTTTTTGATACATAATCGCGTGCGGCTCTGTTGAGAAGAGTCGTCGACAGCGTGTGGTATCTCTTGAAAAGGGGCAGTCTCTGGAGTCTTCTCCAGTCAATACAAAATCCAGCCATCTTTGAGTGGACTTACCTACATTTTGATCGTGTCTTTTGTTCCGTGATGTTATACTTTGGATGATGTGATATATGGTATGCTAAGGAAGCCAGCCAGTCCTGACCCAAGGCTATCGACACTGTCAATTCTTGATGCGCTATCAAACTGCCATGTCTATGTAACCGCTATATCTGTATGTTAACTCCAAGCATCTCTCATTCGGCATCACCAAACAATCAAGGCAACGTCCTCATGACCCCCTCAAACGCAACCAACGCCATCGCATTCGCCGGAAAAGCCCTCAAGAAGCACGGCAAGAAGCCCCTCCAGAACCCCCTCCACCCGCCCTCCCTGTACACGGCGCCCGCGGCGTCCCTCCAGCGCGCGAACCGCCTCTCGCCGTCGCCCAGCCCGCCGCCCAGCGGGTCCGTCATGATGCGCTGCTTGACCAGGTCGCTCGGGTAGCTCGCCAGCCAGAAGACCTGGGCGCTGAGCCCGCCGGCCCAGAAGTTGACGGCGGGCGCGCCCAGGCTCGTGTGGCGGCGCAGGGCGCGCGACAGCACGTCGTAGCTGGCCCACCAGAAGAAGAAGAAGCCGCGGAAGAGCAGCGTCGCGGACAGGCCGTGGTAGACGCCGCGCAGGCCGTGGTGCGCGTAGATCTTGCGCGCGCAGTCCAGCGGGCCCGAGTACAGGCGGTCGGCCTTGCGGGCCGCGTACTGGATCTGGAGGCGGGCCTTGACGTGCTCGACGGGGGCGGCGATGAAGCTGACTGTTGCGCCGGCCATGATGCCCGCGAGGCCGTGGCCCAGGGGGGGCAGGTACGTTACTGCTGCTGCTTCTGCTGAAGATTGTGACGAAGATGATGATGATGATGAAGGAGAAGGAGAAGAAGAAGGCGAGAAGAAGAAGCTTCCCCCGGGCCCAAGCCCCGGCGCCCACGAGTCCGCGCCAAAGACGTGCTCTGCCAGCACCCTCCTGTAGACGTTGAGCGAGCCCAGCATCACCGAGTCCATGAACATCCACCCGACCAGCGGCGGCGTCGCGCCCTTGTACAGGCCCGTGACGCCCTCATGGCGGACCGTCTGCAGGACGCACTGGAGGGGCCCTGCGAAGCGGCTGGCTTGGGTGGTTTGCAGGCGGACCTTGACCGTGTCAAAGGGGTGGCCGACTTTGCGTTTCAAACTGTGTTAGCCCATGTCAATGTGTAGATGAAATGTATGGTGTCGTGACAAGGGGCGCAAAGAAGATGGAAAAATGTTGTGTTGTGATTTGGGAGAAGGATATAGAGAGTTCGAGTTATGAACCAAACTTACCAGTCAGCTTCGCGATGCCGCTGAAGACGCCCGCGACAAAGCCCTTGTAGTCGCGCTTGCTGGCCGATGTCGCCGACTTCTTCTTCTTCTGTTCATGCTGCACCACCACGGACGCGGGCGACGAAGCCGTTGCCTCTTCCATTTGGGCGACCTGACAAAAAGCCCCAATGTTTGTCTTCCTCTATCTCAGCTCCCAAGAAAAAGCAGCCTAATTGGGAGCGAGTGAGGAATGGAGGAGGGGAGGATGGGGGAGTGATGTGAGGAGAATGAGGATCTGAAGTTGCTTTTGCTGACAATGGTGGAGTTGGTGTTTTAGAAGGCCGGCTTCGGATTGTTCTGTCGACCCTTTGTCAGGTCTGCTTCTTTTCTCTACCAGAGTTTGGCAACAGCGCTGACAGAGAATAGAACAAACTCCAATGCCAAAAGAAGCAAGGTGACAAGAGAGAACAAGAAATCGCACACTTTGTAGAGAGAGAGTGAAAGGAATACCTTGAGATGAAGTGTGAAATTGGCCGGTGCGTTAGATAAGCTCCTCCATACATTATCCCCCCCCCCCCGTAAGATGAATCTCATCCCATCCCGTGCAGAAGTGGGGGAGAGACTCAACCTACCTTACCCAACATACTGTAATACCTACTTTACATACCTACTCCAACAGATATTACATACTACTCCCACGAATAGTCATGCTGCCGCCCAACAAAACGTAATAAGACGGGGGAACAGTAATACACGCACAGAACCAAAAACTGAGCCAGTCCAGTCACAAATCCCATTTCTCATCGACATCTTTCATCTCCTAGTTAAAAAAAAAAAGGCATCGACTGCTGCTGGCGTCTCGGAGACATGCATACACCGAGAGTCTCACAGCAGTCTCACAACGTGTCTTGACGTGTATGGATCAACACAGCGCAAGACCAGTATCACAACCCATGGTACTACATCACACACAATGAGCGGAAAATGAACGCCGCTTAACACGGCGAATCTTCATGTCGACCAATTGTGCTTTTTTTATATGCCGACCAAACACAACAATTGCACTCGTCAGCGTCTCATCTCATCGCATCGCCCCTTGACTTCCCAAGTCCGCTTCGAAGCCATCAGTGCATCATTCACATCATCAAGGCCACCGCAGACCTTTGCTCCGCTCCGAAGTCAAATGTTCATGTCATGTCGTCGTAAGAAATGAAGAAATCTCAGAAATACAAAAGGGTGAGGCTCAAAGACGAAAGCAAACAAACGGAGCTGCCCAGGGCCGCTCAACGCAGAATATAGTCTCGCAAAGCACATTTCCGTCAAAATCCATTGCCTCCTCGCGTCCCATATATCTTTGCCCCCGGCTTCCCCGAAGCAATCCATAGCATTATGTAGTATCCTCGCAAGTTGCCCTGCTGCGTGTCCAGCCCTCTCCAACCTCCTTGCGTTCCCCCCTCGACAACGTGCGGGCCAGGCAGGGTAACTCTCCCAATTCACTGCTATCTCTCGTCACCCCTTTTTCTCAGCCCATTTTCTAAACTGGAGACTCGCCTTTCAGGGAAAAAAAGAAGAAGAAAAAATTCATGTTTTTGTACGGGGTATTGTGTAGTAAAAGCCATGTGTCGAAAAGGAAAAGCAAGAAATGAGACAACAGGCTCATCCATCTCTTCTTTCATGTACGTCGTCAACTCGTGTAGCAATAGGTCGGGGTCCAAAGCAACGGCACGACTTCACCTAGAACGTATCCGTTTCTTGGCTGGCCTGGCTCACGTGGCTGTTGAGGCTGCCAAAGGTGTCTGTAATCGACATGTCAGTAAGCTGAGTGAATCGCAGCAGCAATGAGTCTCAAGGCAACGTACCTCTCTTCCTTCGCCTGTCCTCTCGGGCCGCATCTTCCTCTGGGCTCTTGGGTGTCATTGCCCGGGGACCGCTAGGCCTGCGCGATGGCACGCCAAGGGCGGCGTTGAGATTCTTGTTTTCCGGCTTGGGGCTCATGCTGTTGTTGTACTGGCTGGGGTGCGTGCCGCTGCCGCTGCCGTAGCCACTCTCGTAGCCCTGGGGCCCCTGGGGGCTGCCCTTCTGCAGCGCCGAGACTCGTGTGGTCCGAGGCGGCGTCTGCTCCGACGAGTCGTTCAGGGGCTCCTTGGGCGGCCGAGCTGGGCCGGTGTTTTGCTGCTGCTGAGGAGGAGCTGCCGGCCAGTAATCGCCACCCTCATTGCCGTACCGCCCGGATGCAGCACCGTTGAGGCGGTTGAGGCTGTTCATGGAGCCACCCCAGTCCGCGGTCCTGGGCGTTGCCGGCGCGTCAAAGTCTTGGGCAGAGTACTCCAGGGCGTTTCGGAATCGTTCCGTCTGCCCTTGCTTCGGCTGGGGGTGCATCAGATTGATCGAGTTGCGGTGAGCCTTGTACTTTGGATCTTCCGGCGTCGCAATCGTCGGCACAATGGGCGCTGATGATTCGAGAATCTCGTGCGGCGGCGCCAGGCGGCCCCCCTCCATATACCCATTGTGGAACCTGTCGTCGCCATACGTGTCGAGAGGATAGAGGTCGTCGCGCGAGGCCATGCTCGACGCCGACCGAGACTGCAGCACGTCGTCCTTGGCGTCCTTTTTGCCGTTGCCGCGCAACGCCTTGCCCACGCTGGACGCCGTCGTCCCTGACCAGCGGGAGATCTTGGGGAACCAGCTGGAGCTGCCCGACTTGCCCTTCTTGCCCTTGTCGCTGCGAGGCGTGTTGTCGGCGCTGTGCGGGTGGTCGTAGCCCTGGTCAGAGACCTGCGGCGCGCCCTCTGGCGGAAGCGACCCGCCGCGATGCGCATCACGGTCCCCGGCGCTCAGCGGAGAGATCACCTGGGTGCGCTCTGCCGTTGGCGTGGGGTGGTCGTACTCGTACTCATCTTCGTGCTCGGGCACCGTATCGATGCGATGGTCCGAGAATCCGCGCTGCCCTTGGTACTGGCTGCCGTGGCTAGCGGTGGAGTTGCCCTCGGGCTCATAGCCCTTGTCGTGCTCGTACTGCCCCTCTGGCTGGAGATTGTCAAACGACTGCCCTGCGCCGCTGGTAGAGACCCTGGCCGAGATGGGCGGCGCCGTCTGCGTCTTGAGAACGTCCACCTCTCCGAGGAGCTGCATCAGCATGTCCTCGATGCGAGTGAGATCACTGGTGCCCTTGGCACTGAGGCCTTGGAGCGCTCGTTTCCACAGGGCCTTCTTCTTCACCGTGATGTCGTCTGCGGTGGTCCCAGCGACTGAGTTGCTCTGCACAGACCGAGGGCCGGGGTAAGGTCGAGGCCCGTTGATGGCCTTTTGGAGCTTCTCAGTGTTTTCGGAGTTGGCAAAGATGACATCTTCGCCAGTGTCCTGAACCAGCTCTTTCAGATCCCGGAAGGAGTTGCGCATCTCAATCGCGGCATTCATGAGCAACGCGACAATCTCCGTGTCGCGGGCGCTTCGCTGTGCATCGCGAACCATGAGCTGGAGGGGACACTTGTTAGCAAATCACCTGAGCTTTCTGGGACCATCTTTTTCATCAACTTACGTGCTGCATCAAGGCAACAATATCCTTGTTTTCGATACGCTCAATGCCGCCACCCGTGGAGGCATCGTAGAACGGAGAGGCCATGCCTTGAGACATGCCGCTGAGAGCGCGGTTGTTGTCCTGCCCGTAGAATGGATCCTGACCGCCGCCCATGTAGTTTGATGGACCACCAGGCATGCGGACTGCCTTGCCCTTGGGCTCGACCTCTGGCGTTCGGTTGGGTCCGTTGGACATGTATCCCTCATCGTACTTGTATCCAGGGCTGCCCGTGCTGAAACCGAGACCACGAGAGGCAAGGAGATTGTCGTTGAGCGCGGGGTTCACGATCGGGCTGGCATCCTCGTACGGGTTGGTGAGCAGAGTGTCGCGCTTCCGCTCGGCCGACGTCCTCCGCCACTCGTCCTCCTGGCTTGGCTGCTTGCTGAGGGCAGCCTCGTCGTCGAGATGAGCATCTCGCATGTCCTCGTCAGACTGGGACTTGAAAATGACTTGTCCATACTCTGTAGGAGTGGCCTTTCCGGACCACTGGCCGGGGCCAGGCTCATCTTGCAGGATCGATGGGTTGGTCAGCAGGTCGTCGTCCATGTAGCCAATCTCAGGCATGGGGTCTTCGTGCTCAGGAACACTGCTGGCCTCCATCCGAGGCGCGGCTTCGTAGTCTAGCCGGTCTAGGCTGTGAGTGGGAGTGTTGCGCGGCTTCCAGCCCTCCATGGCCCGCTCCTTGAACGACTTGTTGCGGAACACTCCGGCTGGCTCAAAGTCGCCTTCGGCAGCATCTTCGACAGTGGCCTGCTTCCTTTCCTGGGCCGCCTTCAAGGCGGCAGCGGCAGCACCAACGGCGCCAGCAGTGATGGCAGCTTCGGAGGAGGTGGGGGACTGGTGGTACTTGGTGCGAGCTACCTTGCGACCATTCTCATCAAGCTCGTACTCCATGTACTCATGGGATTGACCGGGAGTTGGCTGCCGATCATCCTCATAGTCGTGATTCTCCATGCCAGCATGCTTATCTGGGCTGACACCTCGGCTGCTCTGGAGCTTGGATCGCTCATCATACGAGAGGTTGGAGTCCCCGGCGCCGCTGTACACGCCAGTCAGGACAGATTGGTCGAGCATCGACCCATCGATGAGAGAGGCGACGGCAGACTCGGCCGCAATGGCGGGGTGAATGATGTTGGGGTTGGCTGCAATGCCACGGACCGGCTTTCCTGCAGCCGTCTGCCCAACCTGAGAAGCCTCAGCCGATGTAGTGGCGTCGAAATCTCTGTTCTTCAGGCCACTGGCGACAGAGTCAATGGACTGCATCGAGTTACGAGACTTGATGGACGAATAGGCGTCGCCTCGGGAGTTCCTGTTGGGCGTCTCGCCATCAGCTTCGGTGAACCCAGACACGCTGGGGATCGGGCTCAGGCCACGAGCGCCCGCCTGATACGGAACGTATTTGAGAGGAGGAGGAACGTCCTGCGTGTTGTAGTAGGCATCTTCGTATCCGTCGTCTGGATAATCGCCCTGGTCAATATCACGAGGGCTTCCGTCGTAGCCGTCGTACGGGACGACAGGAATCTTGTTGCCAAAGTCGTCCGTTTCGTACTCCACATTCTGGTTGTACTCTTTCTTACCGCGTGGCAGGGCAGTCAAGTCGCCGTGAGACACATTGGCGTGACTCCTGCCCAGTGCTTGGTGTACGTCGGTAGGCGTCCTGGAAGGAGTTGGTGTAGACGAGGGCGATGGGATGTCCCTCTGCTGGTCAGCTAACGGGGCAATTTCTTCAGTGGCCGAATGAGGCCCGTCAGACTCTGCAGACAAGATGGAGGTTCTTGTCATCTCCGAAGGGTTGATCTCGCTCATGAGCGGCATTGGCGGCGCTGGCGGAGGCTCTTCGTCATCGTCGTATTCTTCTGCGTATCGTTCACGACCTAGACTCTGGCTCCTCACTCGGGACTCCGTCCTCCTTCTACGCCTCTCACGATGTCTCTTTTCGCCCACTTCAGACTGATCGTCCGTTGCGCTGGACAGCGCCGAAGCAGCTGCCGCCCCGGTCGCGGCGGCGAGTGCGGCCTTGGCTAGGTTGCCGCTTCTCTTTGGCGTGTCGCCGTCATCGTGAACGCGGTAGTCGGCGCCAATGGAATCCCGGCTGGGGCTATGCACCGACAAGTCGTCGTAGTCGTGGCGAGCCTCGCGGTTCCGTCTCTCCTTGGGCTTGGCGTGCTCCTTGAGAGCGTCCTTGTCTCTGGTCGAATCGGGTCGCTGACTTGCGGACCGCCTGCGGTCTGGAAGGATGTCTTCTCTTGAGCCAGACGTGCCCGTTGAGGTGAAGGAGGCGCGTCGGCCTTCACGCTTGCTCTGTTCTCGCTTGAGGGCACTCAATTCTGGCAAAATCAGTCGTCTAATGGCGTCTTCGACTGTCTCAAGAAGCTTGGGGTTGTTGATGGAGGACTTGGAGGCCCCAGAGCGCATAGACCGGGTGTCCATGGAACGATGGCTCGGGGCCACGTTGGACGACAGAACACTCGAGTCGGCGGCCGAAACGTGCGATACATGACCTTCCGGGTTGCGACTTCGGCTGGAGCGACGCCGCGATGAAGTGTAGTTATCGTCAGGCGGGAGCTCGCTGATGCTACTTGCGCGACTCTTGGATCGCCGCTTCCGCTCGCCTTTTTCCTTGGGCTTGTCTGATGAGGACTTGGAGGAGCGTTCTTTGGATCGAGTCTTGGTGGCTCGCGGCTCCTCCACAGCATCCTCGAGGTGCTCTCCGGAACCTTGGTCTCCTCCGGGGCCAGAGCCATCCAAGAAGCTGTCGGTTGGGATGGCAGAAATCTCAGATCCGTTTCCGGGTGGAAAAGAAGACTCTCGCTCGCTCGTCGGGATCAGCGGGCTGGCAGGGCGACGTCTTCGCTGCTGCGGTTGCTGACCCTGGGTGATCTCTATGTCGATGGGATTGCGCGAGACGGTGGATTCTTCAGTGGCCGAAGCGTACGACGTCATGCTATGGCCGTCATCGACTCCTCCGGGTATCTCAAGGTCACGAGAGGGAATCTCATCCTCCAGGGGGATCCGTCGAGTGAGCGAGCCTTTGCGGGAAGACTTTGTCTCCGTCACTTGGATATTGTGGTCTCTTCTACCCTTTTTGGAGCTGGAGGGAGTGAGCCGCACTCGCACACTTGGCTTGCGACTGGTGGAGCTGCCCGTTCGGCTGCCCTCGAAGTATTCAATCAGCAGCGACGTCTGGGAGCGATGGCTTCTATGGCCGCGGGTGCGGATGGTGACTGGATTGCCGTCGTCTCGCAGGGAGTAGCCCGACTTCTCATCGCCAAGCTTGGAAAGGTCGGCGGTCAGCTCCGTGGGAGTTGTCGTCTCGTCGGTCTCGGTCGGCGCAGGCAATGGAAGGCTCTTCCTGCTGACGGTGCTCATCTTTGGCGCGAGGCAATCGGTATCCTTGCCCTTAAACTGTCGTTATGCGTCCAGTGGCAGCTGGCAGGTGTCTCTCACGGGCCCAACTCCTCGCGATTAGGAGAAGGGGGGACAAAGTAGTCGAGGTCGAGTAAGAGACTAAGACAGAGCGTTTATGCAGACATCCGGAACAAGGCCCAACGCTACGGCGATGAGGGGGAAAGGCGCCTTCTGAACGGCGTCAGTAAAAGAAGGCGAACGATACGAAAGGAAAAAAAAAATATCAAGGATCGTAAATAGAGCTGAAGTAGAGACGAGATCCCACTCGAGCACTCAAGATGGGCCCGACACAAGGGGGGATTGGACGTCAGAGACTTACAGGAACCAAAGAGGAGAAGAAATCGGGGAGGGCAGGGCAATTAGTTGTACCAAGTGGCGAAGCTCAGGCACCGAAGGGGAGAAGGGCCCAGAGCGGTAAAGAGGCTGTCGCTCACAAACGACATTCAACAGGGAGAGCACTGCAGAGTCAGGGGAATTGCTGCAGGGCCTGTGGGCTGTCCGTACAGTAGGTATGCTGGAGGCTGTAGGCTGTAGGTACAGGCACAAGTATGTAAGATATGATGATGATGATATGCGGAGGGACGATGGAGGCGCCGAGTATGTACAGCTGAGGATTGGAGGATTGGACGCTGGCGAGCAGAGAAGCGGTTGGCAGTCGGTGAGGTCAAGCGCAAATGCGAGGCGACGATGTGGGGGAGCGAGAGGGAAGCTGGCGGGTGGTCTGTGAGGCTTCCAAAGAAGCACCGCTGGTCCTGTTTGTGGCCCTCGTTTGTCGTCCCTGGACGCGGCGACGAAGGAGAGGCGAGGGGCGCAGGTGGGCGATGCGATGCGATGCGATGCAGAAGGTTGGAGTGATGAGGAGAGTGAGATTCGATGGAGTGAGGCCCTCCCGTTGTTATTGTCCCGAAGCGGGCTGGGGCCTCTGCTTGATGAGTTGGCGCTGCCGATGTGCTGGAGTCTGGCCCAATGGCGCCTGGGCGGCGCGGGCAGGGGTGGGTGGTGCCGCTGGACGGGTGTGCTAGCTGAGCACTAAGCCGGTCCCAGCAGGGCCTGGAGAGCCTAGAGGGGGGCCTAGAGGGCCCGAGGCTTCAGGGCGCGCGGAGCCTGTGCGCAGTACCGGGAACCTGCGCGTACCTGGGCGGTACCTCAGCGGGTGATGCTGGACAGAGCCCGATCAATCGGACTGGGCCAGATTTGCACCGTCCAACCAGCCACTTCTTTTTCTTCCCCTTCCTTTCAAGGTTGATTTTGCTTTTCTCTGGTTTCCACCCCCTTGCGCTCGACTTGGTTTCTAGTCGGTGGCGCAGTAATTACCTAGAGGCCAAACACCAGACTGGAGACGCAGAGGAGAGAAGAAAAGAACGAGGCTGGTGATACAGCGCCGTTGCACGAGCTTGCGCTACCACACGACTACTCCATGTTACCCAGGTACCTAGAAAAGGGGAGCGCGAATCGGGATGACCATGACCATGACCAGCATCATCATCAGCACCTGTTCAACCCAGGGCCGTTGACGCCCAACACGGTCATACTGGACTCTTCACTCCCGCCTCAGCTCCTCCAGCTTATTCCCTCATCTGCATGCTCTAGTGCTTGCACTGTCGACAGACGCTCGCAAAGTCCCGTCCCGGTACCCCCCCAGTACCGTGTACTCCTTCACTCGTCCCGACAGCAGCATGCATGGCCTTCATCCTCCCCCCAAACAAGCCGCACCGCAACCACAGCCGCCAGCCATTTGGTCATACTGCCTACCTAGGTACTTGTAGGTGATGCCGCCCCCCCTGGGCTGGCACATGGGAAGAGACCCGACAGCTCCAGACCCGCCCGCACAATGAACCAACCAGGACCCGCCAATGGCTGAAATCGAACCGCCATGGACGGCTGGCAGGGTAACGAAGAGGATAGTATTACTGTGCTGCAACCACGTACTAGATAGTAGTATCGCGCTTTTGGCCGGGACAGGAACCAGAGGCAGAGAGTTGCGAGGGCTGAAAGTGGGCATCTCTGGGTGATGTGCATGGGCTCGACTGTTACATGCGCGGAGAGCCGATCTGGACTCGCACCCGTTGCGATTGTGCGCTTCCAAAACCCTCCATCCTCGTGCATCGCCAGTCGTTTTCCCTTGCCGATGGCGCATAGCACATACGTCTACAGCTCTCGCCTAGGTCTTCATTTGCGTTTCAAGTCAACGGATAGGGCTGAGCCGAAGTGCAGCCTCACTCGGCAATTTTGTCATGTCAATGCTGGATATGTACAGCACAATTCCATCAGCCAATCCCAAGGTGACGACGATAACATATGCGCGGACGAGCCGCCGATTGAAAATTCCTCAGCCATTATCTCTCATTTTCCAGATGTTCCCACAGCACAGAAAATGCCGTGGTCTGTTTTACCAAATAAGGCCTCTGGTGCGAACGAGAGCTTATTCCAACGGCGACAGGAAACCGGGGAGCATGCCGTGACTCGGAAGTGCTGTCCTACAAGAACATGCATCATCCCAACGTAAGTGAGTTATCCTGCTGTTTCTACTCAGATGGCCTCAGTGAGTTTGTTTCAGTCGCATCCAGTCGATCAAATGGAATGTCTTTCTGCTAGCTATTCTTCGCCAATTCGACAACGAATCGGCTCGATACAGCGACATCCCAACGAGCTGCAAGCCAACCACCTGTGTACATGAGTATTTGATGTGACGACGTTCGCATCGTCAAAGCCCTGCAGTACCTACAAAGGCCCTCGCAAGAACCAGCTTCCGTCCAAATCACCCGTCAAATACACACTCTTCATCTCAAGCATTTTCACACCGCTGCCACAAAAACTCTTTGCATGCAAATCTCGGCCCTCAATCCTTCCTCTCCCTTGCAGCGCCCAAGAAAAGTGTGTCACCGCATATGCTCCGCGACAAAAAGCCGCAAAGAGGGACACTCACAGCATTATACGACGAAAAAGGACACAAATTTCGTGTGAAGGGCAAGGTGGAAAAGTGCATTCGACTTGGTGTCACTCCGCTTCACGGAATACTACTCGTCTGTGCTTCTCGTCGACGACATGCGCCTTCGGCAACCAACATACAAATGCCCTGTGCGAGTCTCTCTCGTTCCGACACGAGGGGGGCTGTGAAGCGTGAGCTGGGCGAAACTTGAGAGACACGATGACAGCGCTGGTACATGGACAATCTGCATATGGTGTGACTGTTGGGCATCAAGTTGCACAGAATGTTCTCCCCGGATGACATGGAAACGCTTTGCATCAGGCCGTGAACCAGACGAGATAGGTCCAGGCCCAACATGATAGTGCTGCGTGCTGCGTAGTAGTAGGTGGTATCAACACATCAAATTTCGCCAAGAGTTGCTTCCTCTCAGACAACTTTGTCTTGCAAGTCAAACATCCGGCTTGTCAGCTCCCTTGAACTGATCAGGGGGGAGGTCATGTCTCGGATGAGGAAACTTCAAAACCCTGTCCAAACACTTGACGGAAGTTCTTCCCGAAGAACCCCATCGACTCATCCATTGTCTAAGAAGCGTAGAGAAGGGCAAAAAACAGGTTGCTATCGAAAAGAAATTGGAAAATAAATTGCCAGACACTGGTATCGCCCGCTCGCCCATAACGCCACCTGCTCATCAAGAAAACATAACATCAAGATCCCAAGTATCATAAGCCAACGCTTCGCCCTCGCACAACCAAAAGCTGCAACCCAAGTACTCAGAAAACGAAGACAGCAAATCC